ATCTAAGTGTGATATCACTTCTGCTTATTCCTTTCATGTATGTCTCAGATTCACAGATTTCAGGCCTTGACCAACACTTAATGAATATGTACGGTTTGATATGATCTGCAAAATAATACGGCAGTCTGCACTGTGGTTAATGACGTGGCAAATGATTGTCAAAACTGCTCTGACTTCCTTCAAGGTTGTTAGAGGTACCTTGTGGCTGAAGTTTACATCTAACGTTCAACATCCTGATGTATTGACTCAGTGGTATAATTATTCCACATTAGCATAATATATTGCATCACCCTTAAAGTAAGCAAGAAAACTGACTATAGCAGTGGTTCTCAACATTCCTAATGCTGTGGCCCTTTAATATAGCTCTTCACATTGTGGTGACCTCCCCCAACCACAAAACTATTTCATTGCTACTTCATAACTGCAATTTGCTACTGTTAGGAATCATGATGTAAATATCTGTGTTTTCTGATGGTCTTAGGTGATCCCTGTGAAAGGGTTGTTCAACATCCCCCCTAAAGGGGTGTAACCCACAGGTGGAGAACTGCTGGACTGTAGTCAAAGAGCAATAACAACAAAGGAAATTCTTTCCATAAGAAATGTATTGAATGTGCTGGAGACTGGGAAATTCCTTTCCTGTGCTATTTTTCTTCTCATTTTAAAGAGCATGTAGCAGGAATTATTTGAGATTATTATTCCACCCCCACATAATTTCCATGAAAAAAAACCTTGATTATTTTCTTTGAATCATATTTGAATCATTGATGTTCATTTTCCAGTTTACATAAAATGGCAAGTAAATGTAGCTTGCAGTCAGCCAATCTTGCTACCTGCCTGCTTTTAAATAAGAATGATAACTATCCAGTTTCTTTAAAGCTACCAGAACTTGGCTGTGGGTACACAAAGGTCCCCTGAGCTTGGGTACGACAGTAAAGAAAGATACAGTTAGAAAGAAGCATGCTGTCTGGAGCCAGGAAAGACTTGAGTGCCTGTGAAGAAACTCTTCCTTGAAGGGAATGCTAATGAAGTTCCTGCCCTTTCAGTGGGGTAAGGATGGAAGGGAGGAGAGGCACACACAGGAAAAATTGGCAGTAGTGAGGAAAGACATGACATAAGGAAAATACCTAAATGTCTCTGCAGTAACCTAGCACGAAGTGACAGGACCTCCAGTAGATGCACTAAACCGACTAAGGAAAGGAGCAGATAAAGAAAAGTCTTTAAAACTCAATGGAGTTACTCCCTTGAGAACCAACATCCACTCCAGGGCATGACTCCAGCTGCTGTTTTATGTCTCTCTCCCATACTCTGATAGCTCGTGCTCAACCACTTCTTAATAAACTTGTGCTACAACCACTTCTTAATAAACTCCCACTTCGCTGTGGTTAAAATGATAAATAAATCCATAGCTAAGGGAGCTTCCATGTGCCTAGAACTGAACATAGGTATCACCATTGCTGTTACCCATGTTGAGTATGTCATCAACTGAGGAGTTCTATACACATGCCTGTCATGTCCACAAATGTCTGGTTGATTGTGGTCACACTAAGTATGCACTTCAGGGCAGCATTTCCCATGCTAGGAAGAACACACAGTTTTCACCAGGGTGTCACATGTTTGTGCTTCCTGGCACCTAATTTGCTGTGTCTACGATTCTGTAAGTAGAGAAGGCACATTGTAAATCATGACGTCCTACGCAGATATACCCTAGGTCCCATATAGCTGTTGACACCAGTGCATAGGCTGGCTGCACTCTTCTGGTTTAACTTCATTTCTAAAATAAATTTGATCCTTTCAAATTCTGAGCCTAGGAATCCTTGTATCAATAAACGCCAATGTTTTTAATAACCTCACTGGTAAGAATTATATGAATTAAATACTACTTGCATTAGAAATATAATTTTCTCCTTTATAAGCAGCTTCTTTTTTCTTTTCTTTTTTTTTTAAAGAAAAACATAGTTCATTTTGGCCTAGGACTTTTGCCAAGCTTTGTCTTTTCTTTTGAGAACAGAAAAACCAGGTTGGCAGTTATGTAACTGAACTGCCAAACTGTGTTAAAATCCCACATACACAACATGCATACAAACATACATACATGTGAAATTTGGGGCTGGAAGATGGCTCAGTGGGCAAATATGAGGACCTGAGTTGAACTCCCCAGAACCCACACGAACACGGGCATGGCAATGCTCATCCATAATCCCAATGTTCCCAGAGTAAGAAGGGAAATAGAGAAAGGATAATCCAAGGAAGCACATGGGCCAGTCAGCTTGGTGTATGTACACAGTGTCAACCACAAAGAAACCCTGTCTCCACTGAGGTGGAATACAAGAGTACCCAAGATTGTGATCTGACCTCCACATACATGCCATGGCACACCTATGTACCAGTACTCACACACACTAGCACACGCACATACGAGCATATCATACATACTGATGTATACCAAAGAAGCTTGTACCCCAAATAGCATATTATTTATATCTACTGTGAAATGGAAATGTGTTTAGTACAGTGAAGTTTTCATTTGGCTTGGATTAAAAAGAAGTCCACAAACTCTAGCTTCTAAGGCGTGCAGCGCAGCCATGGACCATTGCCAGCACTGGGCTTTATCACAGTGTAAATGGGGTTTTAAGTGTTTGTTTCCAGGGCAGGTCCTCGCAGCCCAGGCACTTCCCAGTTTCATTGTTTCTTTGTTCTGCCGGATGTAAAAAGGATTGACTGTTTTGTTTTCTGGCTCACAGAGATTAGATGAAGTCTGCATTTCTGAAGTTCAACCTCTAGGCACGCAACCTTAAAATTCATTTTTTTACAGCTCATACTTTGCAGATTTTGTATATTTAGATTATACTGGTCATAGCATCTGGTTTAACCTTTATCTAGCTTGGTAGTAGGCATCGATGGCAAAATTGATCTCCTTAGAACGGGCACTGAGTGACATCGTCCTTTTCACTCTTGTCCCTAAAATGTCACTTCAGCAAAAATACTTCTGTTTGACCTACTGTGCTGTTCTGTTTGGTCCTACTGTGCTGTTCTTGAGACTTTCTGGCTATTAGAATCTCATGATGTTGGATACCTTATTCTTGTCAGGCAACCATAAACCTTGTCTGAGTGGAAATTATATTCTTTCCTTTTAATATGGCAACTACTGTGTAAGATAGAAAATTTAAATAACATTACCTCCATCTTCCCCCCAAAAAAACACACTCTAGTTTTCAATGAAAAAACTATGAATAAAAATAATTTTGAGAAGTTATTTTAACTTGAGTTAGAAAATTAGTTCCAAGGTCTTACCAAGACTTTTTTTAATAACAGAAGCTATTGAAGATATTATCAGTTTAGTTCACAAAACTTTTTGCCTTACTTTTGCCTCCTTGTTATCAGTGATTTGCAAGAAAACATTTACTTCTATGTCACAAAGATGCTATGCAATGGAGCCAAGATTTGAATGCATTTCTATCTTCCAAAGTCCATGTTCTCTATGACTCTATGTCACTGGTTCTGTGGCAGATTGTCAGCATGTAACAGGAACCATAATTACAGTTAACTTTGAGTATCACCAATTGTCCCAGCCATAGAACCAGACTCAAAATCACCAAGTATTAAAACATAGACCCTTTGGCTGAGCAAAAGTATTGAAAACACGGTATGAAGTATGCTTGCTTTCAAAGCTCATCTGTGCTCTGGGCCCTCTCTCCAAGATACTGCCTGAATTTTCTTGTCAGCTAGTCTTTGTATTTTTTAACAATTACTGATATATTAGTGGCATATTTAATTTTTGCTGAATGCTGAACTCATATAAATAATAGCATAAAACATGAAGGCATGGAATTTTGTAAGCTGTATTATACATATGATATCTTGCTTGCCCATAGATAGTCTTTATGAACTGTCAGCCCACAAATGCCATTGGAGTATAGAATGAGGTTAGCTTACTTGCTGGAGTTGTGCTAATAGCAAACGGGCATCTTCTTCAAATTGCAATCTTATTATAATTCTTGATGTCATAAAAAATTGCAGCCTATCAGGAGGTGGGTAAAACTGAGGTCTGCATAGCTATGCCACTCAAACAAATGGTTTATAAATTGCTCTTCAATATCTCCTTCTGGCTTTTGGGGCCAAGAACTATGCAGGATCGCTAATTTGTCTCATGCAGATGCTTCCCAATAGTTCTGGTCTCTGTGTGCAAAGTAGGTACAGCCTATTTTCATATGTTTGACTCCTCACTGTACTCAATGAAAGGCTGTTGACCTACATCCCAACCTGGTGATACAATCCTGACTCAAGTTCAGCATTGAAGATTCAGCACAGACAGAGCCATGCTCCCCAAACTGCCCCTGAATTGTTGGGTGCAAAACACTGTCAATCCCACTAGCTCTAGGGCTCCTGGAAGTTCCAATATGCCTCAGAACTAAGATTTTAAAAATCTAGGGGTATTGGTAATCCCAGATATTGGCAGTATTGATTTTACCAAGCAAATCTATTTTACAATCAATATCAATCTGTGTCTTTTGTGATTATCTAATAGCTAAAAGCTACCCAAACTTATGTATGTGAGTGACACCAAGAATCCACAAGCTAGGAAGAAGCTGAGTACGAATTCCCAACTCCTATTATCTCTCAATAGTTTGTGTTTTCTGGTTGGATCATTGGTGTTCAGTCAAGCACAGGCTGGATGCTTGTCAATGTCTAAAAACCATACTGAACTTGCAAGTCAAAGTAAACACTGATTGAGATGTCAAGGTCAGACCTACCTTAACAAAAAGTCTTATCAAATAGAAGTTCACGTCTCTAATAGGTAAGGGAGCCATGTCTTTGAAAAATGGAACAGTAGGTTTGCAAGTATTGCAACGTGCTGGATTCCACCTCCCCCCCCCCCATCCCCTGCCCCAGGGAGCAGATTCCTTAAATTTTTACGGAAAATGAACCTGGGCCACTGCAGCATAAACAGTTATTTTCAAAGCCCTCATGCTGCCTTCTCTTTGATGGTGTTTGTCTTGCAGATCCCTTGCCTCCTGCTAGGTTCGAAGTCAGCCCTGAGAAGACATCTTCAACCACTCTGCAGGTGAGGTGGCTGCCTTCTTCTGGAAAAGTCACCTCGTATGAGGTGCAACTGTTTGATGATAACAATCAAAAGATACAAGAGGTCCAAGTTCAAGAAAGTCCCACATGGAACCAATATACTTTTTTGAATCTCACTGCTGGCAATAATTACAAATTCGCCATCACAGCTGTTTCTGGAGAAAAACGTTCATTTCCCGTGTATACCAATGGGTCAACAGGTAAGACCTGTATTGTCTGTGGTTAATAGTCTGTGATATCTCGTTTTTTCTTTTCTTCTTTTTGATGGCACTGGGGATGAAACCCCAAAAACCCCGGCATGCTACGCAAACACTCCCCAGCCCTGTGTGGCACCTTCAGAATGATATGTTATCAAAGGAAACAGGAATATGCCACCCATCATAAGTGAATAAATAACTTTTTAAAAGGAGGTTATGATACAGAGAGGAGACTGGACTGAGCATAGGGGGGGTGAGTATGCTGCTAGGTAATTTTGAACAAGGTTCATGAGGTTTCTCTGAAAACAGAGTTTTTTCTTATTTAAAATAGACACTCCCTACATGTCTAGTTCAAATCCATGAAAATGAGATTTTTTTGCCTCATTTTCCAAACTGTGTTACAAAACACAGTTTTCCTCTTTTGTATATTCTCATAACATCAAGTTATGATGTCTTCTAAATACTCCTGCATTTAAAATATGTTCTTGTTTCCTAGATATGATGAAAATTAATTCATCTAGTGTCCCATGTGTCATGATATTACTCCCAGAAAGTGCATGACTTTCCCATAACTTGCTCTCCTCTCACTTTCTCTGGCTATTTTGATCTCTTTCCATTTTTCATCTCCTACAGTTTGTTTCTTTTCTTTATCTCCCCTGTTTATTGGATTGGCCACACCTACCTTAATCTCTATAAAGCAGAAGAGATAAAACAGGCAATGTATGATGCCCCTTTAGCCCTTAAAGTCTGTGGACTTTAGAAAGGTGGTTACTGAAGGTTCCAGAAAACTCTCAATAGGGCCATTACTAATTATTGCAATGATACAAGTTAAAATATAAAGAGAAGTATAAATGTGTAAACTAAAGAACTGTGGCTATGTTTTATACAAGGGGATTATGAATGACCTTGTGGATATGTGTTTTATCCCACTAGTGCCATCTCCAGTGAAAGATATTGGCATTTCCCCCAATCCTAATTCTCTCCTAATTTCCTGGTCTCGTGGCTCTGGGAATGTGGAACAATACAGGCTGATGCTCATGGATAAAGGGACTTTAGTTCAAGATAGGAACGCGGACAAGCATGACACTTCTTATACTTTCCATGGACTAACCCCTGGACACCTCTACAATCTCACTATTGTCACCATGGCCTCGGGACTACAAAATTACAAGTGGAAACTAGCAAGGACAGGTAGGTCACTTTCTTAGCTAAACAAGAGTAAAGCTCAAATTGAGTTTGAATCAGGCTTGTTATTTAGATAACGGTATGTAGGAAAAGATGAAATTCATATGAGTTATAGAAAGATTTTAACATATATCCATTTTATTGAAGAAAAATGATTCTCTTTTATGCTAACATTGAAGCTATACCTTGGCAGCATTTTGAAGCAGACAAAGTTACTTGCTGATATGGTTCAAATTTCTCCATTTAATACATGCATAAGGCTCCCTACTTCTGACTCATAGATAAACATCTGCTATCTTTGTAATCACCCACAGTGAGTTGGGGGTGCTTTTCCTAGTGCCATATAGAGATATGTCCTTGTATGGCATATTTCCAAAACCTTCTACCCAAGAAAATATGATGTGGGACTTGATCACACAGCCCCAACCTACACTGAAAAAACTAATTGGTGCTGCTTATTAATGAAGTGTTCATTCACTGATTCATTTAGCCAATATTTACTATGTGTTAGGTATGCGTCAAGCATTGCAGGTTAGTACTATTCAAGGCAGACAATGTCAGAGTTCTCATGAAACTCACATTCAAATGGCCCTAATTAGTATAATGTGTTGGTAAACTTCTCTTTGTGAATTATCTCATTATCTCATTTTAAAATAAACTGTAAAATGGATGTCTTTGAAATTGTTCTAGTGGGGAGAGTATTCAGAACTATAGGAAACTGAGGAACAAGATACTGTGGGCCCTTCTACATATCTGCATTCTTTTATAACACACTCCAAAAATATGTAGATGTGCCTAAGAAAAATGCACAAGATGTATTAAGAGTTATTTGGAATATCAAGAGAAAATACAACCAGATGTACATTTGCAATCCCAGCACTCAAGAAGCTGAGACAGAAGGATCAGTAATTTGAGGACTGCCTTGATTATAAAGCAAATTCTAGACCACCCTGGGCTAGAGATAAGGAGAGACAGGGAGACAGGCAGACAGACAGAGAGAGGGGCAGAGATAGAGTGAGACAAAGACAGTTTGAGAGAGAAAATAAACAAATAATACTTTTGAGCATACTGTGCAAAATCACTGTTCTATAATCACTCTTTTAGTGATTAATTTATATTATGCCATTAGGCATGGTTACAGTATGTGTAGGATGTAGGAAAAATATTCATCAAAGATTATTTCCAGTCATGAGTTTTCCTTTGATGAAAGAGTAGCACAGCTCTTTATCATGATTTAACATAGATGTATTTTAGTGGGTTTGAGAGATGGCTCAACTATTAAGAGGGCTTGCTGCTCTTCCAGAGTTCAGCTTCTAGCACCCACATTGGGAAGCTCACAACTGCCTGTAATTTTAACATCTACTTAAAATTTTACAGCTACCAACTAATCGACATATTTAGTGAGTACCTGATATTATTAAATATATAAACACACAAACACACTCACAAAGAAATTAAGTAGATGGCAGACCTCTTTGTGAATTCTATCTAAAGAATCCCAGAAAATTCTCTAACCCGTGTTCTTGTGGTCAGCTTGCCAAGTCCCAGCCAGAATCCAGGCTCCTGATTGCAAGATGGTGCTCTTGCCAGAGCATGGTCTTTCTTGGATTTCCAGTACCATTTTGTCTCTTGATGTCCTGCAGGCATTAGAGTTTAGGTCAAAATTCAGCCACCGGGAGGTCAAGAGTTGAGGAATAATATCTCTTTTCCATTTGTTACTAATTAGTTCCCATGGAAGTCTCAAATCTGAAGGTGACAAATGACGGCAGTTCAACCTCTCTAAAAGTCAAGTGGCAAAAACCTCTTGGAGATGTAGATTCCTACAACATTACCCTGTCTCACCAAGGGACATTTAAGGAATCCAAAACATTAGCTCCTCGTGTTACTGAAACTCAATTTAAAGACTTAGTTCCTGGACGGCTTTACCAAGTTACCGTCAGCTGCATCTCTGGTGAACTATCTGTGCAGAAGATGGTGGTGGGCAGAACAGGTAAGTCAGCCTCCAAAGTAGTCTTTGGTTACCTCAGTCATCCTCAGATATATCTCAGAATAGGACAAAATAATGTAGAGGGGAACTTCCTTTCCCACTTGGGAAGTAAGGTCTTTATGGCCAAGAATGCCTATAGAATAGAAGCCCAGTGCAAAGTAATTTAGAAGGTTATTGCATACGTTTCATCAGTTAAACAAATGTGCTTGGGTTCCCATGTGATCTGCACGTTGTCCCTGATCTCTGCTTTCTCCCTCAGCATTACCTAAGTAGCACAAATCCAAGAGCACTGATGTCAGTATAGAGAACATTTCTGGTTCATTCTTATAATAAGGCCAAGTTAGCACTATGATTTTCCCATAAATAATTTTATTAATTTATGTTACTGAACAGTTATCTTGTTCTGTTTTTTAATAAATTACTGGATTATGAACCTTAGAGACTCTTAAGGTGGTTGTGATGTACTATTGACTTTAAGACAAGGTTCTGAGAAGTACACCCTGTGAATAAACCCACTTGGTAGCTTGTTTTGTATTCCCCTAGATTAAAATAGGATCATTCTAGGGTCGTTTATGTAGTTCAATAAAGTTTTTTAAACCAACCTTTGCTTAATAGATGTTGCATTTTAACCAAACACACACACACCAAGAATAGAACCCTTTAGAAATGCTAATGACATTAATAATTTCACAAGTCAGACCTCACATAAACACTTCACACCTATTTCATTTATTTATTGCAAGAAAAATGTAAACTAGGAGCTATGATGTTAGTATAGACATTGTACAGACAAACTGGAATGACTGAATAACTCATTCATGGTCATCTACCCAGAAAGTTCTGGAGCTTGGCTTTAAACCAGGTGGTTCAATTTGAGTTCTGTCTCAGTGCCATTAGAGGTCTCAAGTAAGAATTGTATGTACAAAAGGGACCAAGAACTACATTCCCCTTTAGAAGAACAGTAGACACTTGTGGAAAGGGCCTTGCAGTAGAACCTAGAAAGTGTAAATAAAGGAGGAATGAAGGAATATCTGTGAGAATGAATGACAGGAACAGAGGCTCAGAAGTGGGAGAGCTCAGGAGACCACACACCCCTGAACACACTCAAGGGGAGAGGGTGGCTGCAGGGATAAGTCAAGGGTTGGTCTAGGAGGAGAACAAGTCTGAACTGAAGAGACATGGGTGTTAATGAAGGACCCAGGGTTTTGTTTGGTTATTTTCTGAAGAGACTCTGAGTGTTGGTGCTCTAAACATGCCTACAGCCATAACACAAGACATTTGTTATTTCTGGTTGGAATGAAAAAATTTAGGAATGTTTCATGACCACAACATCCAGTATCCTTTCAAAAGATGTCACATTGGTCAGGGTCACCACCATGAGATGCAACGTCAGTGTGATCTCCAGGGCTGACAGACCGATAGTGTTGCAAGAGAGTGCATATCTGCCATGTTACTGAATTGATTTTCGAATGCATTTCCTGAATGTGAAATGTCTTCCAAATGAAAAAAAAAAAAGTACTCACCTGAGGTACACAGATATCTGGAGGGGATACAAATATGCACAACAGCAGACAATGTGTTTTTTATATATTGCTTCCCAAAAAGGCAAACGAATGTTCTTATTTTTTTTTTTTGTTTTCAACACTTTCTTGGCATATCTTCATTTAGTTCCAGAAAAGGTGATTAATCTGGTTTCATACAATGAGATTTGGATGAAGTCCTTCGCAGTGAACTGGACGCCCCCTGCTGGAGATTGGGAGCATTATCGTATCCTGCTCTTTAACGAATCCTTGGTGCTGCTCAACGCCACTGTGGGAAAGGAGGAAACACACTATGTCATGGATGCTGTGAAACTCATACCAGGAAGACAGTACGAGGTAGAAGTCGTTGTTGAGAGTGGAAACCTGAGGAATTCTGAGCGCTGCCAAGGCAGGGCAGGTAAACAAACATGAAGGGGTTCATGATTGGCAGAATTTAATCCGTTCCCTGTCTCACATAACCAGACATTATATTTCTGTACTCCCTCATGGTGAGGTATTATAAGGTTAACAGAGATTAAAACATGTAATTTTGCCAAATTTGGACATCCAGCCTCCTTTCCACTGGCAACTCCATTATTACGTGAAAGAATTAAAGGTGTGTTTTTATGATCTTTGTGCTGGCAGAAGAGACAGAGCCGGGAGGGGGATGGTTGGTGTGTGCACCTGAGCCCAGTAGAGGGGAGAGGATCCCAAAGAGCTGGAGTTAAAGGAACTTGTGAGCTGCCCAACCTGAGTGCTGGGAACTGAACCCAGGTCCTGTGCAAGAGCTGCAAGCATTCTTATTACTGAGCCAGCTTTCCAGCCCCAAGAAAAAACATTTTAAATGCCAAAACAATAGAAAAGACACAACCTGAGAATAAAGACCGATCTTTCAAAATGTGGTTGTGACCTAAGTTACCATTGCTTTGCTGTAATATTGACTGATCCGAGGATTTCGGGCACCTGGGTAGAATGACTGACGTGGACAGGGATACATCAGGATGACAGGAAAGGGAGGGTTAGGACACATGAATCTTGGTCATTTCATTGTCACCATTACGTTGTGGTTTCTTTGGCAGATCATAAACACCCCAAAACCTGTCTTCCCAACTTGCAAGTGTGACATTACCCTTCCAAGTTCAACATTCCTATGATGATCCTTGGGATGTAGAGCCCCCACACTTAGAGTAAAATTCCCCTCTCTTAGTCTTGCCTGCTAAAGAAATAACTACACCAGTTCAGTGTTCTTATGAGAAGAATACCAAACAGGGTGACTGTGACAGTCGCTTAACTCACCAACTGTATCTTTCAGTGATCTTCTCCTTTTCCAAATGCCAATGTGTGGAAGATAATGATCAAAGACATAGCCAGCATAAGCAAGACATTCCAACTACTCACAGGACGGGTGCCTTTGTCATCCCTCAATATTTTGCCAATCACTTCAAGCAAATCTGGAAATGTTGTAAGATGAATAAACAGTAGAGTTCAGCCTCATTGGCACAATTCTCTGGAGAGCCCCCCACACACACTTTGATTTCTTTATTTATTTCATGCTCAACTTGCTTGCAGATTATAATATTCTTTCTTCCGTTTCTTCTGTGCAACCGTGTCTTCTAGTATAGAAACAGTTTGTTATTTCCCGATAACATTCCTGTCCATGAAGCTGGGGGGCTCTGAAGTCACACTCTGAGCACTGCATATGCCGCAGAGCATCCTAAGTGCTTGCTGAAATTGACAGCAAAACCCCTGTCTCTCACTCTGCATTTCTAAACATGAGCTTCAAAGCAATTCAACACTTTTCTGGGGCCACTGACCCAATGTCCTGCCCCGTTGTTTGGCTGGACCCCATGTACTTATACAGCTGCAATGGCTCACACTGCTTCCTTAAGGTGACATCTTTCAGATACTTGATGATTTTCTTTTTTTCAGGAACACATGCTCTTGGTGGCCTGAGTAGTTTTGCAGATGTCCTTAGAGTGAATGTAAAAACATTAAACCCCTTGATTCATGTGATTTTTCCAAGATTTTTCTGGTTCATTAAAGTAGCAAACAGGTGGAACATTTATCTAATTATTCTTTATCAATAAAAAATATCAGGAGTCAGCTATCAGTGCATGAATCTGAATGATCAAAGAAGCTGTGGGGAAGCCACCAGTGACCACCTATCTCTCCTGCTCTTCCATCCAAGATGGAAGATGTTCTCTCAATCCCGCCTTACTACTTCCTGTCGCCTATGCCTCAGTCCTCCAAAACCTCTATGGTTAATTTTGGTCAGTTAATAGCTGATTCAAAGCAAACTTTATTGCCAAAATGCAATCAAATATCACACAGCAGCAAGCCTTTCTCACAGGCCACTTTGGACCACAAAGAGAGAGAGAGAGAGAGAGAGAGAGAGAGAGAGAGAGAGAGAGAGAGAGAGAGAGAGACACAGACAGACAGACAGACAGACAGACAGAGAGACAGAGACAGAGACAGAGTGTCGAGGGATCTTTTTAAAACCACACTTCCAGATGATTAAAATAACCTGAGGTAGGCCTTGACACAAACCGTCAATGGTTCCTTTACACTGGTGAAGAAAGAAGTGGTGATCCATTACCACGAAATGACAGAAAATTTCAAATCCAACTGTATGTAGTTTTATGCAATTGACTTATAAAATTTGACCTCCCTGTTGTTTTGTGGGACCAATATCTTGTCATTAATGATGTCTTCTAGAAATTATAGTGATAACATCTTTTCAAGAAGTGGAAGGACTTGAGATTCTCTTAAGATAAGGGCTACCCCTGCTAAGATTATTATTATTACTTTGCAGTTGCCTTCTTCTTCATGACACAGCAGGGTCCCCTCAGAAATAAAAGGAGGTGCACTTGGTCTTTCTAAGGTTTGAGAGTAGCAAATACTTCTCATTCCACTTATATACTCAAGGATAATCTATCCATTAGTGTTCTGTGGTCACAGGACTTTGTTTAATGGTTTTCAAAACAAGGATCCACAAGAAGAGAGGAGGTCTTGGGGCTGGAGAGATGGCTGGACAGAGTCAAGCAGACCGATGGTCTCTAAAAAATTACTAACAACTGGGACTGGATCAATGACCCCAAGTCTCAATTGATTTTTCCTCAGTCCCCCTGGCTGTCCTCCAGCTTCGTGTCAAACATGCTAATGAAACATCACTGGGCATCACGTGGCAGGCCCCCTTAGGCGAATGGGAGAAATACATCATTTCACTGACTGACAGAGACCTCTTAGTCATCCACAAATCACTCTCCAAAGACGCCAAAGAATTCACGTTTATGGATCTGATCCCCGGAAGAAATTATAAGGCTACCATCACCAGTATGAGTGGAGATTTAAAACAGTCATCCTCAATAAAAGGAAGAACAGGTAATAATATTCACAATTTCTACATTTTAAGATGGTCTGTCCACTGAAATTTGCAAATATCCAGTAAGGGCCTGCTATGCCTGTTATGTACTTGACGTGATATAAAAGATCCTTTTTATTGTACTTTCTAGTTCACCAAGTTTCTTCTTTTGCTTGGGTGTGTTTTACTAATTGAAATACAGAAGAGAATAACCTTGCCATGAAGTTTTGTTGAAAAAGACAACAGCAAAATGGGCACTGCTGAGGATAGGAAGTATGGTAGAAACTATTCTTTTTAATTCTTAAAGAAGCAGGACACTTGACATTGATTCTAATTGCTAAAGGAAAAGGGGTGTTGACATTGTCAGGATAGGGGAAAGGGTTGCCATCTGGTGAGGGATATGGAATCTATAGCATGATGAGAGAATTGGCTTTAGAAAGGAGAATGGATAGTTTAACTTCAGTGTCTCTGGGGAAAGAAAGGACTTGAGTACTGATGACAGCAGGTGCAGATGCAATGAGGAGCCCTGCTCTGAGAATTACTGTCACTTCCTCAGTGATGCAGAAAGCAACATCCTTACCAAGACTGGTGTTAGTAGTGTGTATATATGCTCTGTGTTCTCTGCACTGCCCTTCCCTCTGTCTTCAACTTTTTTATAGTATGTATAAGTGTTTGCCTGCATGTATGTATGGTACTACTGTGTGTGTGCTCGGTACCTTCAGAGGCTGGAAGAGAATGTCCTGTCCCCAGGAACTAGCGGTACAGAGAGTTGTGAGTCAGCCTGTGGGTGCAAGGGAACAAACCCAGGTCCTCGCCGAGAACAGGAAGTGTCCTTAACTGCTAAGCCCTCTGCCCAGACCCTTTATTTCTCCTTGTAAACTGTACCTCCCAAAGAATGACTTTGTAAAGTCATGCTCTGACTTGATTTTCTTCCAACTCAACCATCTGTTTGCCCTTCTTTCCTGGGTTTCAGAAGTTCCAAGCCAGAGGGTTGTCCTTTATCCTGAAGGGTGGTCTTTAAATTCTTCATTGAAAAATCCTAGGGACAAACTCTCTCCACTTTTACTCTTTTTTTCTGGGTGTGTCTTTTTGTAGCTCTCAGTCTTGCAAAGCAGTTTCATATGCTCCTGTCTTTTGCTGGATGGTATTTTCTATCAGGACACTGGATGTATTTTTCTAGTTTCTCTGGTACTTAGTGACTCTGTTAAAAGCCGGATTCCAGTCTAATTCTTACTTTCCCATGAGAAGTATGTTTAATGTGAGTGCTCTAAAACACACACACACACACACACACACACACACACACACACACACACACACACACACACGTTTACCTCCGCGGATCTGCTGTTTCAGAAGAACTATCTAGGTACAGAGAAACTTTTGCTTGTGTACCTGAGATTTGTTGGGATTTCTGTTCCTGCGGATTACTGCCTTATCTCAATCCTGGAAATTGTCAGCTATTGACTCTCAGTATGACTCCTGCCTTCTTCCCATTCCCCATTTGTAACACAGAGACACACAAGCTGCAGACCCATGTCCTTGGTCTGCGGTCGCATGATTTCTTCAATTGTTTGTTTCAGCTCTCAAATGCTTTTTTCATCTCTCTCTAATCTACTAATTTCTGTTATATTTTTTCACTTTTAAAAATTCTCTTTGGTTTTCTCCTATCTATATGTTATTTTGCTCTTTAGTTAAATGTATACTACATTCACACACAGTCTCTCCCTCTTTCTGTCTCAGACACACACACACACACACACACACACACTCTGAACAAGAGTTCTATGACTGACCTATATCCCTTTAGATATGTTTTAGCAGTACTCTTTCATAACTACATAGATTTAAATGTTTGTCTTGCATTGTCAGTCATTATACTGAAATACAAACTCTTCCTTGCATTGTCAGTCATTATACTGAAATACAAACTCTTCAGCAGTTGAAGACTGTCTTGATTTTTGCTGCTTTTTTCCCCTGCTGCTTTATTTCCACTAAATGTTTCTCTCTCTCTCTCTCTTTTTTTTTTTTTGTAAGCTTATGTTCCTTGGAATCTTATTCTGTGAGGATTCTCTAAGGCTTTGTTTGGAAATACATTTCAGGAAGAATTTCACTTGATTCTTCCGTGTACCCAGGACAGCTGACAATTCAGACCTAGTTTAACGTACTTAGTCGATCTGGGGGTTTTGAACACCCACATTGGGGAATTCCAGTTGTAAATACACGGGAACTATCTGGAGGTTGAGAATTCTCACTAAGGCTTGGGTTTTAGATTTGTGGCAGAGACATTTCCCAGCACATACAAAGTTGTAAAGTCTACAAAAAAAAAAAAAACTCAAAGAAAATGGTTTTCTCCTAGATACTAAGAAGGCTGCAGTAGCGCGGGAAGTAGAGAAGGAATAGACTCTCAGGATGCCATTCAATGTAGGCTCAGCCATCCGCTTCCTCAGCCCTAGAGAGTCTTACACTTTACCTCCCATCTCCAGGATCTCACAGCACTGTAAATTCAAAATGTGAACTCATGTCTGGAATGCATGCGGAAGGCGATGGTTTGCTTCTGTACTTTAATGACCTACCAGTTACTTATCAGCCTTGAGAATGCCTTACATTCCTGACTACGTATTGTTTCATTTGTTTTTATTTTCCATTCAGTATGTGGGACACATTTATTGGCATAATTTTTCATGGTGATAGTCTAGCATTCGGCTGGAAATGAAAGCCCAAGACCTTGTTTTATAGCCTAATATTCTCATCACCCCTATTGCTCATATTGTTGGGTGATACAGTAAGTGGAATATAGTATCGGTTTAACTTTGCAAGGGGATGTTGGTCTCTTCTGCAGCAATTGAAACGTTTCTTTTCTTATGTTTTGAGATGGAGGTCTCTCTTTGGTGCCCAGGCTAGCCTCAAACTCCTGGGTTCAAGAGACTCTTCTGTTTCAGCCACCTCATTAAGTAGCTGCGACTATAGGCTCTACCCGAAAGGTCGTAGGCATTCACTACTTACTATAATTGCCTTTGCTATCATTTTATATGTTACATAGCCTATATTATTATAGCATTTTCGTGAACAAAACCATAGCCCTTTGGAGAATATACATATAAGGAAGTGACCAGCTTGCTAGGCTATAACTTACCCACCAGCTTGAAGGAATTTCCCATTGCCACCCTGTAGCAGTCATTGGTGCTGGTAGATTACATGGTTTTGTGTTCTTGTGGAATAATGATGGATAAAATCATATGAATAAAAAGGTTCTCTAAAGTAGCAGTCTTTGTTATATAAACTTCAAAGTCCAATAATAAGCATCATCATCTCAGTATTAAACCTTAACTAGCTTTGATTAATTGAAAACTGTTGTATGAACAGCTGCATAAAGTGCTCGAACCCTACAGAGGAATAAGTATCCATATGCCATAAGAAACAGACTGAAAAGCCCATGGCAAAAACAAGCAAAACAGGTTTTTTACAGTTAATTAGCACTTTAGTCTGTCTCCATTTTGACCCCTCATTCTTACACTACCTCGGGGTGACTAAACATAATGGTCTCTTACCTTCTATCTACTATCCTTTAGTACCTGCCCAAGTGACTGACCTGCATGTCACCAACCAAGGGATGGCCAGTAGTCTGTTCACCAACTGGACCAAGGCCTTAGGAGATGTAGAGTCCTACCAAGTTTTACTGATCCATGAAAATGTGGTCATCAAAAATGAGAGCGTCTCCAGTGAGACCAGCAAATACAGCTTCCATGCTCTGAAATCCGGCAGCCTCTACTCAGTGGTGGTGACCACAGTGAGCGGAGGGATTTCTTCCCGACAGGTGGTGGCCGAAGGAAGAACAGGTAAGAAATGCAGACATATGTTTGCAACTTCCAAAGACATCAGTGGGTGACGCCACTTCCAACAGAAAGGTTTTAAACATCCTAAAATCCGGCATCTCTGTTTCCTTTCTAAAAGCCAGGTTTCCGTACCACCCAGAGGTACATGGGGTGGAAACTGACTGATGCATAAGGACAAGAGAGAATACTCAACTTTCTTTATATTTCCAAAAACCACATCAAAGCCAGAAAAACATTTCAAGTCATGCTACCTGAACTTATCCTATTCTTGGGTTGTTTTCCTTTAAAATCGTTTTGTTTTTCAGTTCAAATAAACAAGTAGTGAACTATCATCCATGCATATACTCTTATTTCCAAGACATAAAAGCAAGATGATGTCCACATTACATGGTCAAAATTGAGCTGATGTAATTCTCAAATGCCATGTGTAGAGTCTTGCTATGTTGCCCAGGCTGACTCTGAACCCTCTGGCTCATACCAGCCTCCTGCCTCAGCCTCTCCAATAGCTGGCACTACAGGAATATATTGCTGCACTCCTGTGGAAGTCACATATGTATTTTGTAAGCAACATCATCAAATGCCACAAATAAAACTGTGAGCAAAGAAAACAAATAAGTATCATTGTGGCTACCGTGCCAGAGAAGCTCAGCACCAAAGAAGGAAGTGGAGTGTTCCTATGTAATCCGTTGAAAGCCCATAAAAGTAGTGACATTGTGTCCTAGTTTCTTAGGGAAAAATATACACAAACCCAGTTGAAGCTTTGATAACTTTAGTTAAACTCAGAATCAAGTCAATAACCTTGACCTCTTAATTTTACATAATTATTGTAAGTTGGATTCAGGGTTCTCTATCTATAAACCCAACACTCGGATAGTAAGCATCAGCTGTGGTGTCATGTAAATGTAAAAATCTCTTTCCAAAATCAGCGGTCTCACCTACTTAGTTAGCTTATTGAGCAGAGAGTAGCTGAGAAACTGAACCCACGTCTCTGGGCCTCCGTAGAAATTCACTGAGGCATGCCAGTGCTCCCTTTCTGTGGCACTAGACATAAGAAAGGCACCTGTGTTTTTCCTGATGCCCTCTTTCTTCTCTTGCAAGAGTTACTGGCACCACCATTCGGTGGAATGTAGTTGGGGTGAGGACTGAAAAGCTGGGAGGGCGCTTTGCACCCATCTTCCCATGTGTTGCAGCCCGTATCAGTCCGAATGCAGCTTAGACCGAATTGTGTCCTGTCACACACACAACTGAGCAGACAATTCTAATGACTGATTCTCCCCCAAGCATAAAGCAGGGACGCAGGCTCCTACTAACTGAGAGTTTCCTTCCTCTGGATTCTCACAGCTCTTTCCACTTCTCCAGAGAATAAAGGTGGAGGTTGGACATGGCCTGGAAGCAGAGGTAGCTTCCACATCCCACTGGACAGATCGGTTGCATGGCTCTGGCTAGTTACAGTTGACTTTAGGGGAAGCTGAGAAATACGGTCTCGGTGGGTTTGAAGAGGAAAGGGAAGCAGTTGATGAGCGAGTCATACTCGGTCCTGGGTTAATTTTAAACACCACAAAGGGCTGGGGAGGTACCTCGAGATACACACAGCATTTGTTTTACATACACAAACCTTGGCTTCAATCCCAGTGCCACCAAAAGAAAAAATTACCACAATTTTAATAAATATACCACAAAGGCTATGCAACCCATTACAACGTACTAAAGTAGTATAGTATCTGATATCACTTGAAATCGGTGAATATTTGGGATAAATGGCACTTTGTTTTATAAATCATTTTTATTCCTGTATTTAAGTACAATCAGAATACCAATATTCAGTCCATGTTGTATAAAAGAAGTATTCATAAGGTGGACGAGAAAGTCTATGAGTGATGATTATAAAATTCTGAGAACAAAAATTCTGAATAGACGTATGTTATTCAACCGTTGTCCTAAGAAAGGAAAAACAGGACACTACCGTATACACCTAATGACTAAGGATTTCAAAACTCTCTAGATTAGTAGTTTTTACACAACACATTATAATAAAATAATTCAATGGCTAGAGCCATAATGATAATCATTAACATTTTTTCAAATACTTGATATATTTCTCAATATCCAAATAACTTTGAAAAATCTTCTTACATCTCAACAAACCTTCCCAGCCTATATAAAATGGTAGAAACTAAAATTGAAAGCATCAGATATTTGATCAATCTAATCCCAGCCTGAGGAAATGTTCATTCTAGAAAATTATCAAATAACTTTTGTATCTATTTCACCTTAATCAAGAGAGTTACACTTTCTGGAAAACTCCTGATAAGTCTGTCTTTTCTAAATAACATCCTCACAGCTCTTCAATTGCGTACAAGATGGACTTTGGGCTTAATTAATAAAAATCAGGGCATAATAGAACAAGGACTCTCAGGTTTCACTGAGTCGAATCCCGTCTTTTACGTGCGATGCGGTATCCCTGACAATTATGTGAAAATGGCCAACTTACAAGACAAACATCCCACGACGAGAACATCAGTGCAGTCTATGCACACTGTAAGAGTTCAGTCTGCCTCTACCAAAGGCAGCACTGTGTGGTAGATACTTACCTCCAATATAGAATGAGCTTCACATCCACTACCCAGTTACTGATCTCTCGTTTTTAACTCATAACTTCAGGCATCTGTGTCTGTTCCATGTTTACACACCGGGAAATGCAAGTTTCTTGATAAATGTTTGTGGCGTTGATCTCTAACTGATACAAGCGAACAATAATTATGGCTGACCTCAGAAAGATGCTTTTTCTCTGCCCTTGATTCCGCTGCCCAGCTTCCACGGTGTGCGTTTAGGCTTCTGGCCACTAGAGGGCAGAAAACGCTTTACAAAAGAAAGCAGATGTGTTTTCTGTGAAACTCCCCAAGAATAAAAACCCTGCTGACATGAAAGTCAGAGGCGACCCAAAGTCTAAGTTCTTCAGAAAATACGACGATTTTTTTTCTCCTTTACCCTCAAGCATCTTTGGTTTTTGTTTTTCGTTTGTTTGCTTTTGTTTTGTTTTTCAGTGAGTTAGGTTCAAAGTGGTTCATTTGAACTTTTAAAATCTGTGTTCCCTTTCCTACCAAGACCCTCCTGGCATATTCCCATAAAATATCCCCTAAAACACTCCCTGCATAGAAGCCCCATAAAGCCACAGTGGCGGCATGCTTGGGTTATGATGCGCCTAAAAGGCCTCTTTGTGGTGTTTGTTTTGTTTTTCATTAGCCTTTTGGTGAAAGACAGTTTGTCTTCCCAAAGCCCCTAGAGAGCCTGTTACCTCCTTGACTTCTTTCATGATGAGCTCAGATCTCCCAGTCCACAATATTTACTGAGCACAATAGTTATCTCATGTTAAGAGAAGCTTTTTCTTTTGCTAGCCGCTTTGGTTTATCCCTCGCCAGTCGCCTGGGCTCTGCCGCGCCAGCCTGGTTCTAGAGCCGTATCAGTCCCAAATAAACACACAGGAGGCTATATTAATTATGAAGTTGTTGGCCTTGCTTGTCTCTTACTGGCTAGCTCTGCCTTAAGTAATTACCCCATAATTGTTAATCTAAGTATGTCTCTTACCGGAGAATAGTTCCAGGCTTCCTACCCCAATGGCGGTTACATCTCGACTCCTCGTGTTTCTCCTACCCAGAGTCCTCCTGGACTCCTAGCCCCACCTATCTAGATTCCTATTGGCCAGCAGTAATTTATTAACATATACAAAGGACTTCCCCAACAATCTCAAACTTCTGATTCTGTTTTCTTTAACAATTCTTCCTCCTTGTTTGAACTCACAGTCCCTTCCAGTGTGAGTGGAGTAACAGTTAACAATTCTGGCCGGAATGATTACCTCAGTGTTTCCTGGCTGCCAGCGCCTGGAGACATGGATAACTACCTGGTGACCCTCTCCCACGACGGCAGGGTGGTTCAGTCCCTCATCATTGCCAAGTCTGTCAGCGAGTGTTCCTTCAGCTCTCTCACCCCAGGCCGCCTCTACAACGTGACCATAACCACCAGGAGTGGCAATTATGCAAGCCATTCCTTCGTCGAAGAACGGACGGGTAAGGATTGTGAGGGTACAGGGCACTACAGAGGAAGGCCGGTTGTGTGGCTCTGAGCATCATGAACCTGCAGTGGTCCTGGATAAAAAGCAGTTTGCATCACAAAATTACTCTGGAGTCTTTCCATTTTAACTGAAAAGAACTCAATATGTGAGCAGATGTTACACTCACAGGAAGACTGCCCTAGCTTTCATAGGTAGAATTCATATTCTATTTAAATAGGACAACAAATATTTCTGTTTAGGAAGTGCTCTTTAGTTACTGGAACATGGGTTCAGATATACTAATCAAATCTTAAGCAATCCATCTCTCTCATCTCTGATCTCTCATCTCTGCTGTGGCTGACAGAACTGTAATTGGCCTCAGGTAAAGCCCTGTCTTTGTTCCAGACCTGTAGTGTACAATGTTTCAATATAAAGCTTATCGGTAAATGCGATCCAACAGAAGATATCAATACAGCCTGTATAAAAGCATCATGAAAAATAGACTTTGAGTGCCAAAATGATGGAATTTCTGGCTGTTTTATGATTTGGGAGAAAGTAAAAGAAAAGGACATGGGCTTGGCATATGCCAGAGCAGACATCCTGTGACGTAAACCAAACTCCTACAGGCCTAGAGGTGCTCAAAAGAGCTAAAAAAGACAGCTAATTGGAAGAGAGACTCAGTGCTCTGGATCAAGTACAGGCCTCTTGTCAAGGCCTCTTTCTATGAATATCCATGTCTGGTCCTGCTCAAACACGAGCAGACACAGGAGCTGAGGAGATAACTCAGTCAGCAAAATGGCTGCCACACGAGCATGAGGACCTGAGTTTGGAGCTCCAGCACCGCAGAAAAACCTGGCACGGTGCCACACATCTGTGTCAGTAGAACTTTGGGCCTGGACTGGGGAAGGCAGAGACAAGCAGAAAGGAGCTAACTGGCCGGCCAGCCCAGCCAGACTGACAAGCTCCAGATTCAGTGAGTGACCCTCTCTCAAAATAAAGGTGGAGAGAAATCAAGGGAGATGTCAGTCTCTACCCTCTGCATTTGCTCAATCATACACATACACACACACACACACACACACACACACACACTGCTCACACACACTGCTCACAAACACACACATACACACTGCTCACACACATACACACACGCGCACACACACACACTGCTCACACACATACACACACGCGCACGCGCACACACACACTGCTCACACACACTGCACGCACACATACACGCACACGCACATACTGCTCACACACACACTGCTCACACACTGCACACACACTGCTCACAAACACACACATACACACTGCTCACACACATACACACACGCGCGCGCGCACACACACACTGCTCACACACACACATACACGCACACACACATACTGCTCACACACACACTGCTCACAAACACACACATACACACTGCACACACATACTGCTAACATACACACACGCTGCACACACACACCTACACATTGCACACAATACTGCTCACACACACACTAAACACACACTGCTCTCACACACACACACACACACACACATATATATATGTATGTATCCTACACACCAGAGAGAGAGAGAGAACTTGTAATCTATTTTTTGAATCAAAATTCAGCCCTAAATTGAAAACTAGACCACCCTTTAATATCAGAATTGCTTCATTTTGCAGTGTTCCTAGTAAAATGTATTTTCCTATTCATGGAGAAGGAAAACATCAGCCCATGAAATCATTTGTTTATATATCTATTGGAAAGGACCTCAGGTTTACAAAATAGCATTAGTCATAATTCCTGCTTCAAAAAAGCACACATCAATAGACACTTTTGATTTTTTTCTAGACATCTAGCTAGTAATTTTTATGAATTTAAAATGGCATGAGAAACTGCTGCCTAAAATAAAAGCTAGCTAGGACAGTAATCTCTGTCCAATCACATGGTTCATGCCTGAGTAATCCATCCCATGATAGCCAACATTGACTCATCGTGCTCATCTCTTCCTTGCAAAGCTTTGCTTATGTATGGCTCCAGCTTAATAAGGCTTTAATTTCTTAGCTGTTTTAACATAAAAAGACATTTTATGTATATAGGAAGTATGTAATCTTTCAGGGACTTGAATTCCCAAAGTTTTGTTGCTTAAATTCACTCACAGTTTGTATTTTAATAATAAAAGCAAAAGACTCAAATGTCTATGTTTCAAATTAATAAGAAATCAATTACGAGAACTATATGACAGCTTACTTCATACACACAATAGTTCATTATGTGACCTCTGTGGAAGGACATGAAAGACATCTTCTCCCATAGCTGTCTGGGTCCGGTTTTCTATTTGCCAAAGAAATACAGAATATCATTGCACTGGAGCCTGGGTTTGAGTTTCTTTCATGACTAGAGACTCAGAACATCTCTTTATATATATACTCATACGTGCTTCCTCCTTTTCCATATTTCCGTTGAATTCCTTTATTCCATCCTTGGTAACTTGACTTACTAAAGTATGCCGTGGTCATCAGTATCTGCTTCATCCTTCATATTAGACACTAGTTATTATTTTAATGTTCCATCTTATAAGAGACATTATGTTTGTCATTAGATTAAATTCACTCATCAGGTCATTAAAAGATCATTTAAAGTTACATAACTGTATTTCTCCCTTTGTGATGGATAGGTCTGAGATATTTCTGTCTTTATTTATTTCTTTCTGTCTTTCTTGTTTATGTTTATGTTTTGTGAGACAGGGGGTTTTCCAGTAGCTATGGAGTCAGTCCTGGAACTCATCCTGTAGACCAGCCTGGCCTTGAACTCACAGAGATCCACCTGCCTCTGCCTCCTGAGTGCTGGAATTAAAGACTTGCACCACTACCACCACCACCTGGAGATTTTTCTTTTAAATGCACGTGTAAAAACTAGCTTCTTTGTTTTATTGTCTCAGGTTGTTATCTACAATCAACTGTTCTCCCAGAACCCCTAAAACTTTATTTGTTCTCTCTTTCAGTTCCTGACAAGGTCCGGGGAGTCAGTGTTAGCAACTCTGCCAGGAGTGACTACTTAAAGGTGTCCTGGGTACATGCCACTGGAGACTTCGATCACTATGAAGTCACCATCAAAAATAAAAACAGCTTCATTCAAACCAAAAGCATTCCCAAGTCGGAAAACGAGTGTGTGTTTGTTCAGCTCATCCCTGGACGCCTGTACAGCATCACCGTCAGTACCAAAAGTGGGCAGTACGAAGCTAGTGAACAAGGGAATGGGAGAACAAGTAAGTGGAGGGGGTTATCAGAAGCACGGGTGACCAGACTAGGAGGTCACTGAGTAACTTCATGGAAACCCCGAGTTTTCTCTGCTCTCCGACTTCTCAACTATAGTCCCAATAACTCACCTCGGGCTTACCTCATTCAGCCAAGCAGCAGTCTGTCATTACAGAATGTTTATTGGTAGATGAAAACACGGTGAGGGAGAGGAAAAACATGTGCCTCATTTTTCTTCCCTGTCTTCATGCACCAAGGCATTACAATTCTAGACACCTTGTTTTATCTTCTGATTGAGATCATAACTCATTTTATAATTATATTCTACCCAACATGTAGCATATGAGATTTATGTCAGGGGGGAGAAAAATCACAACTTAAGTAGTTGCTTTCAATTTTTCTTGTTTAATTATGCATGAAGTAACTCAAGGTTTTTCAGTAGAAGAGAGATGTTTGGCAGTTCCTTGAGTGTGATTCACAGATTGTGTAGGTAAACTTGATCAGCCCTCTTCCTGAAATATCTTCTCATTTCATTCCGCAGTCCCAGAGCCTGTGAAGGATCTCACACTTCGAAACAGGAGCACTGAGGACCTCCATGTGACTTGGTCACTAGCCAATGGGGATGTTGACCAGTATGAGGTCCAGCTGCTCTTCAACGATCTGAAGGTCTTTCCCCCTATTCACCTTGTGAATACTGCAACTGAGTATCAGTTCACCGCGCTCACTCCAGGGCGCCATTACAAAATCCTTGTCCTGACCATCAGTGGCGATGTTCAGCAGTCAGCCATCATTGAGGGCCTCACGGGTAATTTGAAGTACTGTTCTTGAGCCAAAGTGGACACAGAGATGCATTTGAGATGCTAGATAATGCAAGTGTTTAGATTAAGACTTGGAGAAATGAGGGGTTGCAAGAAGCATAAAGTTGTCCTGATGATGGTAATGACAGTGCCAAGGCAGGATTAGCAAAAATACATTGTAATGTGGAGGTGGTAAGGACCCTTTCAGAGAAATAACACTGAATGGGTATGCATAGCTGGGGCTTCTGGGACACACAGATTATATTACATATTTAATAAATAACTCTCTGTTGGGGTATCAGTTATTCAGAATTCTTTTAGGAGCTATCATATTTACTTAATAATGTAAGTTGGCAGATTACTGGGGGATAGCCCCTCAGCAAAAACATATTCTGTCCAGTCTTTATAAACCTATGACCCATCACTATTACCACCATTGACATTTTCCTTATGAAGAAATTTATAGTGGTTAAATAACTTGCCTATTATCTCATAGCTAGTAAATAAGAAAGCAAGTCGTGGATAGGGACAGTCCAATCATCCTTCAGTATACAGTGTTTTCATTTCTCTTCATTGGCCTTGATCTCTGTCTTAAGTTTCTCCCCTTAATTTCTATTCTGGCAGAAGAGAGGGGGCTTGAGGAGAAAGTCACATTAGTATTTTTTTCCATGTGCATCCTTTCAGTAAATGAAAACTATTGAAAAGTGTGACCTGCAGAGGCACTAGGCCTTTTGTGATAAACAAGTACTACAGCACTAACCCACATCCCCAGTCTACCTTGAAGACTTTAGTTGAATACTCCCACCATTCATTTCTTTTTAAGTGATGGTTTTAAATTTTCTTTTCTTTTTCAGTTCCCAGTGCTGTCAAAAATATCCACATTTCTGCCAATGGAGCCACAGATAGATTGATGGTAACCTGGACCCCTGGTGGTGGAGATGTTGACTCCTATGTGGTATCAGCATTCAGGCAGGAAGAGAAGGTTCAGTCACAGACTGTCTCTAAGCATGTCTCAGAGTACACTTTCCACAGGCTGGAGGCTGGGGCCAAATACAGGATCTCCATTGCTTCTGTCAGTGGGTCCCTGAGCAACCAGTTAGACGCGCCCGGACAGACAGGTGAGCCCATAGCTGGTGAAGGCCCAGATAGGCTAGGGCTCCATGGTTCTCCACAGTGGACCAGTGAATGAACAGACTTAGCAAACTGACTAAATCTAATTTAAAACTACCCAAGTGTCAACATTTCACGGCAGTTTCATGAGCATTTCTTATCTTTACTTTGTATTTTTTGTCTTAATAGAGTTTTTTGGGTTTTTTTTTTTTTTTGCTTTTTGCTTTTTTTTTTTTTTTTATGAGACAGGGTTTCTCTGTATTGTTTTGTAGGCTGTCGGTCCAGCCTGGCCTCGAACTCACAGAGATCCGCCTGTCTCTGCCTCCCAAGTGCTGGGATTAAGGCGTGCACCACCACCGCCCGGCAGAGTTTTTTTTTTTAATTAAACATTATTGGGGAAAATGTACACTTGCTAAAAGATGTTTCAAATTGTATTTACAGATTGAAGTCTTCAGAACTATGCCCTTTTCAAATTTTCATTTTGTTTTCAAAATTATTTTTAAGGAAGGAACGCAGAGTTGTGCACTTTGGTTCTAGAGAAGTTTTCCTCAATTGAGTATTTTGCCCTAAGTGGTCACGTCTGAGTTTTCTTGCTTCTCTGTTTTTCTCTGTAGTTCCTGCACCTGTCCAGGGAGTTGTTGCAGACAATGCCTACAGCAGTAGCTCTTTAACACTAAGTTGGCAGAAGGCCATTGGCGTGGCAGAGAGATACGATATCCTGCTTCTAAATGAGAATGGGGTTCTCCTCAGCAACACATCAGAGCCAGCTACTGCCAAGCAGCACAAATTCGAAGATCTAACGCCAGGCAAGAAATACAAGATGCATATCCTAACTGTTAGCGGAGGCCTCTTTAGCAAGGAAGCCCAGGCGGAAGGCCGAACAGGTAATTAACACAGCGCTCTGTCTTGGACCAGCTATCTCCTAGGTGTAGATGTCTACTGTGGTGTAGACGCTGCAGGTGAGAGAGCAAGGCCATGCTGGGAGAAGATGCATGGCTCTTGACACGGTACTGGCGTTCATCCCGACTTCACGCTTCCACATCAGCCAGTCCGCATAGGCATTGGCACACCACACTCGGATTCTGATTTGTCATTAAAACCTATGCTTTTAGTTTATTATTGCTGAAGCCCACTTTGCTACAGATGTGGTGGTTTAAAACAGTGCACATGTATTATTGTATAGACTTCAAAGTCAGAAACTGGAGTTAAAATAAGATGGCAGGTGGTGACAACATACATTTTAGATTCTTCAGGGAGAGAAATTCTTCCCTTTCAACCTCTGTACCTGACCGGATGCTGGTGGCGCATGCCTTTAATCCCAGCACTCAGGAGGCAGAGGTAGGCAGATCTGTGTGAGTTCCAGGTCTGCCTGGTCTACAGAGCGAGTTCCAGGACAGCCTCCAAAACAATACAGAGACATCCTGTCTCGGGGGGGAAAAAGGAAAGAAAGAAAGGAAGGAAGGAAGGAAGGAAGGAAGGAAGGAAGGAAGGAAGGAAGGAAGGAAGGAAGAAATCAACCCCTGTCCCTATTTCTCTCCCCCTCTGCTCCCGCCAACTTTTGAGGACTCTCACTCCGAGCAGTGACCATGATTCCTACCACTGCCTCATCCCTCAGCCAGCTCTATGAGGGCCTGCCTCAACTTAATGGGAGCTAGGGGTAAAGTCCTCTGCCTCTGCGGTTCTCTGCTGTTTCCTCATCTGTGTCCAGTCTCTTGGGAGCCCCTTCAACCAGCCAGGAAGAAGTAAAATCAGCTCTTCTCAAACTAGCCCAAAAACCAGAAGCAGAGAGAATTCTTCCAAAAGCATTTTACAAGGGCAGTACGACCTTGATACCAAAGCCAGACAAGGATACAACAAAAGAGGGGGAGGATTATAGACTACTGTCTCTAATGAACATAGACACAAAACATCTCAGCAGAACACTAGCAATTCTAACCCAACAAGACCATTCGTCATGACCAGAGGGTTTACCTTGCGGGTGCTAGGACAGCTAACACATGCAAATCTGTGTATTAGATCTCTGTGATTCAGAAAAAGCATTAAGTGCCATTCAACCTCCCTCATGATTAAAAAAAAGTAGACAAATTGGATCTAGGAGCATAATATAAGGAGCATTTGGCCAGCATCATACTTAATGAGAAGAAAGCTGAACTTTCCCTGAAGATCTAGAACAGTGGTTCTCAACCTTCTTACTGTTGCAACCCTTTAATACAGTTCTTCATACTGTGATGACCCCCCAACCATAAAATTATTGCCATTACTACCTCATAACTGTAATTTTGCTACTATAAGGAACTGTAATACAAATATCTGTGTTTTCTGATGGTCTTGGGTGACCCCTGTGAAAAGGCGGTTCAATATTCAAAAGGGGTCAAGACCCACAGGTTGAGAACTACTGATCTAGACCTACACAAAAATGTCTAGTTTCACTGCCCTCATACAACACAGTACCAGAAGTCTTACTCAGAACTAGTTAGCAAGAGAAAGACATGAAAGGAAAAACCACACAAGTAGTATGAGAGTTAAATCATCACTATTTGTGGATATGATTTTATCTATTTAAAAAACCCTACGGAGTCCACAGAAGACTGTTAGAACTGATTTTAAAAAATCAGTAAAATTGCAGGATGCAAAGTCAGCATACAAAAGAAAAAATCAAAAGGCTGTAGGTATCATTAAAAAAAAAAACTCCTAAAGAAAAAATAAAGGACAGAATGTCATTCACAACAGTTACAAAGAAAACAAAATGCCTAGAAAGGAATTTGCCTAAGGGAGTGAAAAATCTCTCCAATGGTACTTACAAATCTCTGGTGAAAGAAATTGAAAAAGAAATACAAACACAAAATTGGAAAAACCTCTCACACTCATGGATTATAAGGAAGAATATGGCTGGAATTTCCACCCTCCTAATGCGACTTACAGCTTCAGTTCAGTGCCCATCAAAACACCAATGGCATGTTTCACAGAACTAGAAAAACATTCTAAAACTAATCCAGAAGCACAAAAGATAGAAAACTAGGTACAACAGTCTTGGGTGGAAAAACAAAGATGGAAGTATAATACTGCCTGACCTTAGAATATACTACAAAGCTATAGAGAGGATATCCTGCTATCGTCATGTGTCGTGGAGACCCTGAAGCCTTGTATCTGCAGGACTGTGCCCCCCATGTTCTCTAGCAGCTCATAGATGGAAGAGATGTTTGGGTGGCCCAACTCAGAGTTTGTGTGGAGCACAGACCTGTCAAACTCAGAGACAGAAATATCAGCTGGAAAGGGCTGTTACCAAGATCTCTCAGGGAAACCCATACTAGGAAGCTGCAGTTTGCACCTATTAGAAGTCAACACACATTCTGTTTTGTTTTTTGTTTGTTTGTTTGTTTTTGAGGCAAGGTTTCTCTGTTGTAGCCTTGGCTGTACCTGGAACTCACACTGTAGACCAGGCTGGCCTCAAACTCACAGGGATCCATCCGCCTGCCTCTGCCTCCGAAGTTCTGGGATTAAAGGCGTGTGCCACCACCACCCAATGGAAGTCAACAAATCTTAAAGGCAGAGATGATGTGTTTGGGGTTGAATGTGTCCACCAAGGTGTTGATCCTGGATTGTGTCAGGGACATACCAAAATGCAGACTCATTCTTTTTTCCTCGACTCTTCCAGTGCCAGCAGCTGTCACCAATCTAAAGATCACAGAGAACTCCACTAGACACCTGTCCTTCAGCTGGACGGCCTCGGAGGGTGAGCTCAGCTGGTATAACATCTTTCTGTACAACCCAGACAAAACACTTCAGGAAAGAGCCCAAGTTGACCCGCTAGTCCAGAAATTCTCCTTTCAGAACTTGCTGCAAGGCCGGATGTATAAGTTGGTGATTGTTACTCACAGCGGGGAGCTGTCCAATGAGGCCTTTATATTTGGCAGAACAGGTAAGACCAAGCAGTAATGGACGGGGAGGGAGATATCACAGTATCCACTGGCTCAGCCTTCATCCTTTCTTCCTTCCCTGTTCTGTCCAGAGTAGAACTTTATATGAATATGGGATCTTGAAATTTTTGGCCCTAACTCAGACTAGACATGAATTGTGTCTACTTATTCCAATAGCTTCTGTTCTTTTGCCTCTTCTTCTTTGTCTGATGGAGTTTGTGAAAAATTAACCCAGCTCCTCTATTGCCAGTAAACTATTTCGAGGGAGGGTTGTAATCCCTCATGACCCTCTCAAGCTATGCCCTGCAACTTCCTACAAGGAATAGATGGAAGACAGAACAGGTCCGCAGAAGGTCAACTATAAGTCACACACACACACACACACACACACACACACACACACAAATGTATACACACACACAAATTATGCATACACACATACACACTGTGTGTTTCCACACTGTGTGTCTGGAAACAGATCCCTAGCTAAAATGAACAAGAGTTCCAGGAAAATGGGAGACAAAAATCTCTCTGGGTTACAAATAAGTTAAATCTTATTCAACTTCCTCCTCATTTGACAACTGTCTTTCAGTGCTTTGCGGTACCAGGCATATGACCAACTCCAAAAAATAAATGACAATGACCGAGAAAGATAGGCTCCTGGCCTTACATAGCCCCATGTTAGAGGAGAGAAGAGGGTCAAGATAGCAGATCTAAAGGGAGATGACTTTGAAAAATTCCATGAAATGAGCATGTGCAGACCGTGGCTTAGTAGAACAGGACACTACTTTAAACACAGGGATTTCAGCTGTGTCTGCAGTTGAGAGGAGAAATGTGAAGACAGTACCCTAAGGGCATTCAATGGAAATCTTCTGTTTGTCCACCAAAAGGACTAAAAGAGAGCAGAGACTAGCTCAGACCACAAAAAGCATTGCCTAGATATTACCATTGTTATCAGTATTCTTGGTGAGGGGGACCTGCAGTGTTAATAAGCAGATGTGCATATACACAGTGGTGCATGCCTTCAATCCCAACACTCAGGAGGCTGCAGAGGGACATTGTGAGTGTAAGCATTTGAGCTACATAATAAGATTCCACATGGGGGGGGTGTCTCCAACAAATCATCATTATCCAAAGAATATCAGCTTTCATAAAAGATCTATAGTGTAGGTAGGTAGCATTCAGACATATAATAGAAGAAATGACTCTGACTGCTTTTCCTAAATTGACGTGTGTCCATACAGATTTTGACAAGAAGGAAAACAACTGTAACTGAGAAACTAAATGCAGATGGCACAGTAAAGAGGGTGGTTATGGTATGGTAGATGCCACAGAGGTGGGCCGGGCTAGGAGAAACTGAAACCGTTTCCTGGGTCTTTTGGAAGGTCACCAGTCCTGAGTATTTCGTTGTACCTGTTTATACGGGTGGCATGAGGAATTGCCACCTGCTCTGATTCATTTTAATTTGTGCCCGTTACTACCCCACACGAGCCTCAGTGTAAGCAGTCTGACCCATCAGTGAGAACTGAGCCCACTGTGCATGGGACTGAACCGTGTGCCCGGGACTGAACCGTGTGCCCGGGACTGAACCGTGTGCCCGGGACTGAACCATGTGCCCGGCACAGCCCAGATTCTCACCCGAGGATCCACCTGGTTCTGCACCGTGGTTTCTTCTCAGTGTGAGTTTCTCCTCCTTTCAGTCCCAGCTGCTGTCAATCATCTCAAAGGATCCAATCGGAACATGACAGATAGCCTTTGGTTCAGCTGGAGTCCAGCCTTGGGGGACTTCGACTTCTACGAGCTGATTCTGTACAATCCCAACGGCACAAAGAAGGAAAACTGGAGAGACAAGGGCCTGACAGAGTGGCGCTTTCAAGGCCTCATTCCTGGAAGGAAATACACACTGTATGTGGTGACTCACAGTGGGGACCTCAGCAATAAAGTCACAGGGGAGGGCAGGACAGGTAAGAAGCGCAATCAAGTGCTGGTGAGGAGTGACTTCTAAAGATGTATTTTAACTATGATTTCAATGATAAGATGACTGGGAGGGACACGGAGTAAAGCGCTTGCTGCTCATGCAGGAGGAGAGAAGTTTGGATACCCAGAAGTCAAGTGGAGCATGGAAACATATGTCTGTAACCCTAGGGACCTCCTAAGGCAAGGTGGGAGGTGGGGACACAGGAAGTGTGTGTGCCAGACCACCCGGCATACACAGGAGCAGACAAGAAAGATGCCCTGCCTCAATCGAGGTAAAGATTAACACTCAACATTGTCCTCTGACCGTCACACATACACTATGGGATGTATGCATTCTCTCTCTCTCTCTCTCTCTCTCTCTCTCTCTCTCTCTCTCTCTCTCTCTCTCTCTCACACACACACACACACACACCCATAGGCATACACACACACAATGAGCAGATAAAACCCATCTCCACTTTGTCTAAAAAGCACTAGGTTCTTATTGTGCTGTTACTCACCTGCATGTAGCAAGGTAGATCACTGAGCATCTCGCCATCAGTTTTCAAATCTGAAAAATGAGGATAATGATACACATCTTCATCGTGTCACTATGGTCTCCTATATGCTTTTCTGCCTTGGGTGCACACAGATAATATCTGTGTCCCACCTTTGAGTCTGTCTTAGTTGGGGTTTCTATTGCTGTGAAGAGACACCATGACCTTGTCAGCTCTTACAAAAATAACTTTTAATTGGGGTGGCTCGCTTACAGTGCAGAGGTTCAATCCATTATCGTCATGATAGGACATGGCAGCATGCAGGTAGACATGGTGCTGGAGAGATAACTGAAAGTTCTACATCATGCAGGCAGCAGGAAATGGTCTCAGTGTAACATCAATGGAAGCTTGAGTGAAAGAGACCTCAAAGCCCACCCCCACAGTGGCATACTTCCTCCAACAAGGCCACACCTACTCCAACAATGCCATATCTCCTGATAGTGCCACTCCCTTTGAAGGCCACTTTCTTTCAAACCACCACACAGTCAGTCTACAAGACTATTTAAAACTGGACACAGTTGTCTCTGAATCCCAACCCTTTGCTTTCAAATCTGATGGAACACTTTCCTACATACATAACCCACTCAGGGTACATTCATACCCTGTAGCACCCTGGTAAGTAAACTATGGTTATGAATATTTAAAGAAAAGACATATAAAATGCTAAGTAGTGCCTTATGCATGGTAGCCACTATAAAATAAAGCTTCTGCATCTATTGTTATCGTGCTACCTTTCTGTACATGAAAGTAGATCTGATGTCACTCAATGCTCTGAATCTGTGTTATGTCACAAATTTGATTATGTGGTTTTCCATTTTATTTTATGTGTAGCCCCAAGTCCCCCCAGTCTCTTGTCATTTGCTGATGTTGCAAACACTTCCTTGGCCATCACCTGGAAGGGACCCCCAGACTGGACAGACTACAATGACTTTGAGCTGCAATGGTCCCCCAGAGATGCACTTACTGTCTTCAACCCCTACAGCAACAGAAAATCAGAAGGACGCATTGTATATGGGCTGCGCCCAGGGAGATCCTATCAATTCAGTGTCAGGACTATCAGTGGAGATTCCTGGAAAACATACAGCAAACCAATTTCTGGATCTGTGAGGACAAGTATGACTTGTTTTGCTTCTCTTGGCTTTCAGATGGGATGAGAAGATCATTTTTCTCCATCGGGGCTTGGGTTGAATCCATAATCTTATTTGAGATGGCCAGACTTGGATTCAGAGAGAGAGTGCATATTATCTTCTGTTCTGTAGAGAACAGATCAATAGAATTCTTCTAGGATTCTGTAGGTAAAATTAGAGAAGTTCTATGGAAGTCAGAACATGGAGGATCCAAGTCACTATAGTTATTTCCCAGCCTCCTCTTCAGTCATTTATTGAGTAATGACTCTGCCAGTCAGTGTTTTGGGTGGCTGTACGTTTCCACCATTAAATCATCATAATAACTATATGAAGTAGAGATTCCTAATTTCCTCATAGATAGGTGGGCAGAAGAGATGGAAAGCCATTGATCCAAAAGTGTTGATAAGTAGACTTTGCATCCAGGCTGGGAGTTTCCCTTTTAATCTCCAAGCTACCCTGCCTTACCTTCTGTCCAGCCAGTTTCAATGTGGTCAACTGCATTTGTCTTCCCAAGCATATTAGTGATTTTCTAAAGAGATGATTCTTTCCCTTTCCGTGGGGTTTTTATTATTGTGTTGATTCGATTTGGGTTTGCAGCGATGAGGAGAATACCCTTTACCTGCTGAGCCATCTAACTTGCCCCATTTTGACTTTAAATGTTTTTTGTTTGTTTGTTCATTTGTTTTGTTTTATTTTGTTGCTTTTTAAGATGGTTTCTCTGTGTAGTCCTGGAAGTCTTGGAACTTGGGCTGTAGAAAGGGCTGGCCTCCAATTCACAGATTCTCCTGCCTCTGCCTCCTGAGTGCTGGAATTAAAGGCGTGCGCCACCAACGCCCAGCTTAGATGTTGTTTTTCAAAGTGCAGTCTGGCAGTCAGAAATTTTCCTTGAAGATCCTTAAAAATATTTCTCCCCAAAAAGCAACTGAATAAATTATGAGGACTGTTTGTATACATCTCAGAGGTAGTTTTCTCCAAAGGCGCTTGAGGAAATGCCTCTCCCTCACTCCTGAGCTGTGTCTTCTCCTCTTTGCTCCTACAGAGCCAGACAAGATACAAAACCTGCATTGCCGCCCCCAGAACTCGACGGCCATCGCCTGTTCTTGGGTACCACCTGACTCCGACTTTGATGGTTATAGCGTTGAGTGCCGAAAGATGGACACCCAAGAAATTGAGTTTTCCAGAAAGCTGGAGAAAGAGAGATCTCTACTCAACATCATGATGCTAGTGCCTCATAAGAGGTATCTGGTGTCCATCAAGGTGCAGTCAGCCGGTGTGACCAGTGAGGTGGTTGAAGACAGCACCATCACTATGATAGACCGTAAGTGTCCCCAGATGCTTGCATGGGCCCTCCTGTCACACAGTGGGCAGGGCTTTCCATCACTCCCATTCTCTTGCGCACAGTCCACATGTACACATCCCTGTAATGCGGAAATATTATGATACCCAAAATAGGGATGTCCTATGATATTTTATTGAGGAAGAAGTCCCTTACATGAGAAGCCAAGAGAGCCAAGAACCAAAGGTCCCCACGCTGCTCTCCAGGCTGAAACCGGAACCCAAAGAGAGAGGCTCCTCCCCCTAGCTCTTTTTATTCCCCAAGTGTTCTATGTACTGTGAACACACCCAAATGGGCGTGGTTAGTGCTATGGGGTTACTTAGACCTCTCCCTGCAGCCCTGTGTCTTTATTACTTGAGAGGAGAATCAAATGGAGGCATCTGTCTGGGTAAAGTTCTCCAGTAGAAAGCAAGTCAATATTAAAGTGCCAGAATGAGTTGGGATTTGAGTGCATCGCCTTGCCTGGTCTAGTTAGTCTGTAACTAGTGGGGCTTTTAAGCAATTTGGTGCTACAACCTGGAGGCAATCCTGCAGCGGAGCCGCCTCTTTCATTACGCTTAATTCGCCACGGCTAATTGTTTTCTCTGGCTGCTTCGTTCAGGAGAGGAGGAGAGTTTCCTCACGTGTCTGTAATCGCACACTCTCAAGCGTGCAGAGGCTGAACGTGACTGTAGACCTGTTCAGGAGGTGAACGCAGCCCCGTGACCCTTCTTAGCTCCTTCCCCAACCTGTTTTTCCAGGCCCCCCTCCGCCACCTCCGCATATTCGTGTGAATGATAAGGAGGTACTGATCAGCAAATCTTCCATCAACTTTACTGTCAACTGCAGCTGGTTCAGCGACACCAACGGAGCTGTAAAATATTTCGCAGTGGTGGTGAGAGAGGCTGATGGTAAGTCGTGATGAATTAATGAGCCAAAGACACAGAAGTGCCTTCTTAGGGGTCATGTGAGGGCTCCTTCAAAGGCAAAGTTGGAAGAATGTAGAAAATTAAAGTTTTAATACTCACTTCTGTCTCTGCTGGATACAGGGAGATCCAAATAAAGCTGCTGGGAGTCTCCTTTGTCAATGAACCCTGCTATCTTTTGGCATAATGATTAAATGAGAGGAGAACAATCACGATAACAATAACAATAACCACTGAGCTAAACAGAATTGCCTACACTTACAAGCTCAGCCCTCAAGAAGCTGAGACAGGAGGACTACTATGAGTTCAGGAACATATACTATACTGTGCAACAGGACCTGTCTCAAAAACAGTAAAGATAATTTTTAGAGGCCTTGCTATTTCCAAAGCACTGTTGGAAACACATGACTATTCCCTTGTTTGTCCTATTTTTTTCAATTCTGCCATTGTGTAGCAGTACATCTCAACTTGTTCTCTCTCTGTGTGTCTCAAATGCCTCTGACAGCCATGAACTCCCAAGCCATGCATCCAGTCACAAAAATTCCCAGAAGCTGGAGAGTAGAGGTGTTCACTTGAAGTATCACCTTCTTTACTAAATTTTGTTTGCTTGATCTTACTGTTGCTTCTTTTTTGGTGACAGAATTATTTTTTGTTGTTTTTAATGTAGCCTAGTCTGATTTTGCCCTTACTCTGTAGTCCAAGTTGGCCTCAGACTCATGAGTCTCTTGCCTCTGTTTCCCCACTGCTTGGATTACAGACATTTATTACCACTCCCAGCTTTTAATTTTTAACAGTATTTAATTATCTAGTTTTGTAGAATATTCAGGGACTACCCAGTTTCCACAGGCTATACAAATGCTATGCAATACTTGTCACACCATGATACAAAGTGAACTGTAATCTTTAGAGTTTAATATAACAAATTCTGTCAAATTACCTGTGGGGGTGCTGTGTTGGGGTACAAGTATTCATTTACTGTTCAGGGCCTAAGTGTTAGTTTTCCCAAATAGATGCCAATGTATAATGTGCATTAGTCTATTTTATCTTTTAATTTTTCTCAAAATTATTTAAGGTATTATACATGAATTTTCTTAAGCACCTCTGACAATCTTTGAGCCATTTATGGTAAAGGGGGAGTTTTAAAACAGGACAAGCACTGGAACAATAACTAGACTAAGTGGTATTTTAATTCCACTGGGTATTTAACATTCTGTGTGGATTTGCATTCTATTTATTTATATGAAATTGGTTATGCATAATTGATAAATAATTTCGAGGGTCACTGATACATCCCCAAATTCCTCACACCCTGTAGTTGGAGATATTCACAGTTTGTGAACTGTGAATAGACTTTAATTTAGCAGCAATGAAGATAATGTGTTTCCGCAACACACAAATCTAGGGCAGTGACCAAAAGCTTACCAGCAGCAGGGCAGCCAACCTTCTGTTCCACAGATAGGTAGATTTCCATCACTGGTGTCCACAGAGTTGAGCAATGGCCTCTTGGTACTCAAAGAGAAAAACCCATCCATGTACACTCATCCTGAAGGCAATATTCTTTTTTACTTCAACTACTGTCAACAAAATAATATCTCCATTTCAGAACAGGTAAATTAATGACAAAGCAACCAGTCAAATGCAAGAAGTCATCTTTCATCTGGGACTTAAGTACACTGGTCCAAGGTGGCTCTCCTGACTAGGGGGCCTGGTAGAAGGGATGTATAAAAGGAGGGACCTAGAGAACCTTTTGAAAGCTAGATTGAGGGTCTCAGCTGGGTCCTTGGGAAGAGGAAGAGAGAAATAAAGGACCCCTAAGTCTCTGTCTGGGGCCTTTCTAAAATGTGAGCTGAGAATATAATATCAGGAGGACCTTAGTTCCTGAAATTAATCTCTCCTGGTCAATTCCTCTCTAACCACAAATCTGCTTCCCCAGAAACAGAATAAATAAAACACCAATAAATCAGAAAAAAATATTTCTGAGATATGCTCCCGGTGAGCAGATCTTATTAAACAAAGTCCTAGGTGCTGTGATAAATCCACTTCTGGAAGGCTGTCAGAGATAAAATCCCATCTCTATAATACTTACCTTATTAGTTATGTGTTTTCTTTTTTCTCAAGCAACATCAAAACTAGTTCACAGTGTCCAAACAGGTCGGGTGGACAGGAAGAATATTCTGGGAAGTATTCAGAGTAAGTAGACAAATTTGGGCCAGGACCAAATTGTACCCAAGACAACAGAAGAGTAAGAGGTCTCTGGACCTACATGTTGTCCTCAGGGGGACAACTGTTCTGCCTTGAGACATGATGTTTCTTGTCTCTTCCCTGTCTCCCAGATCATTTGAGTTTCTGCAACTACAGTGAGTTTGGCAAAGTAGAGAGATCATTGGGTGACTTCTCTCTCTTGATGGGGCATTACCAAGCATCTGGAGCTGTGTTATTGTTTGATATAATTGATTGATTTGATGTTCTAGAAAACCAATTGTGTATTGCATAACTATAAAATGATTTATACTTCTTTTAGAAACAATCTTTTAATAGCATCTTTTGAGATTGCTGAATCTGTATTATGGGATAACCAAAGATAATGGATAAACATGTAGCCTTAGAAATGCAACACTAAACACACTCTCTCTCTCTCCCTCTCTCTCTCTCTCTCATACATCCCCCTCTATCATACACTCCCCCCTCCTCTCTCTCTCTCTCTCTCTCTCTCTCTCTCTCTCTCTCTCTCTCTCTCTCTCTCTCTCTCTCTTTCTCTTTCATACACACACATACAAGTCTTTAACTGTGGGTTTTCTCCTGCAGGCACGGATGAGCTGAAGCCAGAACAGCAACACCCTCTCCCTTCCTACCTGGAATACAGGCACAACGCCTCCGTTAGAGTCTACCAGACCAATTATTTTGCCAGCAAGTGTGCTGAAAGTCCCGACAGCAGTTCTAAGAGTTTTAACATTAAGCTCGGAGCAGAGATGGACAGCCTTGGTGGCAAATGTGATCCCAGTCAGCAAAAGTTCTGTGATGGACCTCTGAAGCCACACACCGCCTACAGGTTAGATGCATTGCCGTCATTTGCTAGAGAGGCATGCTACATTTATAAGGTGCTCAGGCAGCTGAACAAGTGCGGTGCATATGAACTCCATAGATTAACGGCCTGCACGCAAGAGAACTCTATATTATATTATAGAGAGTAATTTGTAAGAGTTGAGCTCCTGCCTCCATTCACAGGTAATGTGCAAAGAGGGCCTTCAGCATCGTGCAAAAACTCCAACGCATTGTGTGAAGCATTGAGGGATTTTAATAGGTCATGCTCTCTCCTGCAACTGCGTTAGCATTTGTCAAGTCATCTACAATGCTCGCTGTTGTGGAAAGCTTCAGAGAGACTGAGTTTAGGGAGACCCAAACAGTAGGAAGCTCTGCTATACACTTTTAATGAGACTGAAGTTATACTTACTCTGCAAGGTGTGTAAACATGAAAGTGCTCTACCGTCCAGGCAGAGCTCTTGAAGGGGGCCCTGAATGGGTGGAAAACACCTGTTCCTCACTCCTAGGTGACAGATGAATGGAGCAGATGTTTGCTCTTGGTCCACAGAAAGCTTAGCTGCAGCCAGCAGAGCCTTCCTGCCCTAGGAATTTGTGGCATTCTTATTCTTCATTGTGTTTCCAAAAGCAAATAGAGTCACCCAAACAGCATTCTCAAGAGAAAGGAAACCTAAGCTCCTGTCTTGGATGATAAGGCTACAGACATCCAAATTTATTATTTCCTCACGGGAATGGACCTCCTCTGCTGGGTATTGTGGCAAGTCTGATAACCCTGGCAACATGGTCCCCCAGTCAGGTTCCCTGTGAGCCAGGTGCATTCTGGTTGATCAGTGTTAAGCAAGGTCTCACTGACTCTTTCATATTTTGAGTCTCACTTCTGAGACCAAGTAGAATTTTTTTCTGCCAGTAGGATACTGTGGTGTATTATCACACCTAAGAGAGTTCTTTGCCACCCACCTATCCACAAGAGCAAGCAGATAGTTCACTTTGGGCAAGAACTCCAGGTATCCACCAGGACCCCACACAAGCTTGCTATTACCTCTCAGGCAAGACTATGACCTCCAGAGTAAACATGAACAAACCCAGGGATTTCTACTTCAAAAAGCTCGTGGATCTTTATGTAGTCAGAACTCTGCCTGTCTTAATGACAATCACCATAGTGACAGTTGAAGTTGTCAATCTCCTTTTTCTTCTTCTTCTTCCCCCTCCTCCTTCTTCCTCTTCCTCAATCTCTTCTCCTCTTTCTGCTTCTGTTTCTGCTTTTTTTTTAAAAGAATTCCATGTTCTTGGCCTATCAGTGATACTCGTTATCATCAGACACATTGTATCCGTAGACTTACTGACTTCCTCCATGGGATTGTGTTTCCTGGGATGGTAGGCGTTTTGCCTTATTCCTATTATCATCCCTGGCTCCTAAAAAAGTGTACACTGCAGGACCTCAATAAGTATTCGATGAGCAAATCATCAACTTATTATCTGAACTTATGTCTGTAATTCCATAATCCATCTCACCCATCTGTGGACCCTGTCTCCCCTTGAACTCAATTTCCAGTCCATCCTACTCAGATCAGTCACTGACTTGCATTTAAATAAATTGTTTTCTTGCAGAATCAGCATCCGGGCCTTTACACAGCTGTTTGACGAGGACTTGAAAGAGTTCACAAAGCCCCTCTATTCGGATACGTTTTTCTCTTTGCCTATCACCACTGAGTCAGGTAAGGCTCCATTCCATCTATTCATGTCTCCTCCAGTCACCACTTCATCTACAGGAACCATTAGTGGGGAGGGATGGTAACTTTCCTGACGGTGGCTGGACGTTTATTGTTCCTTGGATTTTAATATCCACGTGGTCATGGATTGATGTGAATTAGAGGGATTATACCAGTTCTACAGAACAGACTGGAGGGAGAATATTCTTAAAAGAAGGTGGAATGGAAGTACACAATGTTTTCCCACTAAAACTTTAAATTTTACGTCAATGAAAAACACCAATATTAAGAATTTACAGGGGTCAAAATGTAAGTAGGCACAAAGGGCTCTCTGTTGTAGATGGGACAGAAAACTAGGAGGGACAGTGACTTAGGGTCTCTGATAGCCCCTGCCAGGGACCAGGCCTTAGTTTCCATTTACTGGAGGTGGTTGGAGCTGAGCAAGCAATTCTCAGGAGCATCACACTCAGCGGCAACCAACCAGCAGGCATGCCACAGCCTCTCGCTTCCAAAAGGTAGCTTTCCCTACTCTGCCTCTGGAAACTCCCTAACCATTACAGCCACCTACCAATCCTATGAACTTTTTTTTTAGACCCACCAATCAGCCTCCAGACTAATCTCTCCTCCCTGGAATTCCTCTAACCCTACTTAAAAGGAGCATGTGAGCTTTTGTCAGATGGTTAGACCCCAACTTGTTGGTAATATTAATGAACACTCTTGCTGACTGCATACATGGCTTGTGGTCTTTCAGAGACTTCTCATGGACTCTAACACCAACCATGCATTGGAGCTAGTTCTGTGTATCCATGGGTTCAATACTGCATATATTTAAAAAAATCAAGAACAAATACATGTTTGTGCTAATTATGAACAAACTTTCTTTTCATGCCATTGTTCTCTAAACAATATAGTCAACCAACTGCTGACACCACATTTACATTGTGTAGGCATTGTCAGTTAATCTGGAGGTGTTCTACATCAAACAGAGAGTGGTCGGGTTTATATGCAAATGACACACCACTATTTAGGCATTGGGGTCATGGAAGCCATAGGCATTGGGGTCATGGAAGCCATCACCCTTAAACACTAGGGACAAGTGTACATGTCAAAGAAGAGGGGAGGAAAAACACTAAGTATTAATTATGATATCCAAAAATAGGTTACAGGCGACTTTTTTGCCTTCCTTTTGTTTGTTATGTTTTCTTTTACATTGGTTAAAATCTGGGGCTGGTGAACCAGCTCAGTGGTTAAAGGCACTTGCTTGCCTCCAAGCCCGACTGCTAGAGTTTGATCTCTAAGAATCTACATAGGAAAGGAGAGAACCAACTCCAGCATGTTGTCCTCTGACCTCCACATTCTCACCATGGCACACCCACGCACACATAAGTAAATGTATTAAAAAGTAAATAAAACTGTTGGTGTAGAGGACAGTGTGCTATCACTCACCTGTAATCCAGTGGTAGAGCTCTTGCCTGGTACAGGAGGACCTCACCCCCACCCCACCCCCAAATCCAATCCCCAGCACTGCAAAACAACAGTAATAATTTTTAAATTTAAATATAAATTTGAAAGGCTTTGCCTGAATGTTTGGAGGAGGCCTGTGTAGAAGTTTGAGGGATACCATGGGTGGTCATGGTAAGTGACACTTGCTGGTCACCCCTTTGGAGCTAGTTCTGCATTCTATAGAGAATAGCTTCTGCAGCTACTGTCCCCTCCATTTTAAATGGGAGAACCTGAGGTTAAGTAACTTGCCCAGTCTGTTTCAGCTACTGTTCAGGCATATTCTGTCTAAACCTGCTGTCTCAGAATTGCCTCTACTCTGATTTTCTCAACTGTGATGATTATTGCATGACCCTCATCACCTCACCCCTTGACACCACCACATCCCAGCTTTCCTTGTTTGGTCTGGGGACGTTGTGCTGGCCTCTCCTGATGCATGATAAAGGATGGTCCAACCTCACAGACCTTCCTCTCTGATTCTGGCAAATATGGTGATAACCTCCTTCATCTCAGGTCCGAGAAGGATCGGTAGCCCCAGCTAAAAGGATTTGGATGTACCCAACTGTAACTTATTGTTGAGTAGAGACTTTGTAAACAAGATTCTTTTCAATTTGAACTATTATGATGCAACAGAAAATTTATGTATTTCAATAAAAAAAGATGCTAAGCAAGTATTCAAAGCAGAATCATAAACACATTAAAAGGAAAATGACTGTGTTGATTTGATGATTAATATAAGTTAATATAGAATAAACTGATCCAATGTCTTAGAGTGGAACTCACAAAATGGGCTACTCCACAAAACTAAACCAGAAAGACAAAATAAGAAGGCTTTTCAAATAAAAAACAGACCAGTGACTCAGCAATGAATACTTACAAGTAAAGATGTGTGGACTAAAGAGTAAACTGTGTGACATTCTGGGCCACACTATAGCTTCCATGATAAGATCTTCTTCTTTTTCTCCTCCTTCTTCTTCTTCTTCTTCTTCTTCTTCTTCTTCTTCTTCTTCTTCTTCTTCTTCTTCTTCTTCTTCTTCTTCTTCCTCTTCTTCCTCATCTTCTTCCTCCTCCTTCCTTCTTCAGTTGCTTTGTTTGCTTTTGGTTTTTCTTTTAAGTTTTGTTTTATCTTGAGAGGGGAAGTTGCAAGGGCAGAGAGAGGATGTGAGGGGATGGAGAGATAAGTAGGATCAGGATGCAAGATGTGAGAGCCACAAAGAATCAATTAAAAAAAAAAGACATACATCATCAGCTCCCAAAATTGATAAACTTTTCCTCTGAAACCAACCTGCTTATAACAGGATGTAGGCAGCTCTTTCACCTCAGCTGCTAGCCGTGGCCTTAGGATAGTCAATACCTCATCTTGAATGGCACAAATAACAACATTACTTCAGAAGACAACTTTCATAGCTATCAAATTGGTTTCTTACCACTAACTTCCTCTCCTTTTGTTTGTTGTTTTCACCTGGGTTGTCACAGAGCCCTTGTTTGGAGTTATTGAAGGAGTGAGCGCTGGCCTGTTTCTAATCGGCATGCTGGTGGCCCTTGTCGCCTTCTTCATCTGCAGACAGAAAGCTAAGTAAGTATGAATATAAGGTTCATGTTAGTGATCAGGTTCACAAATGTAGAGATGCTACTAAAAATGCCCATTAGCCTGAAAGGGGAAAATAATTTCATTTCTCCATGTTAGATGACCGGAGTTTCCTTAGTGAAAACAAGAGTCAAACTCTGAATCCGTGACTCATAGCTCTCCAGGTTTTCTCCAAACCACAGGTGCCCTGGGCTCTCACCAACAAATGAGAGGCCATCAGTAGCTCTGTTTAAATATGAAACAAAATCCTTTTGCATAGGCAAAACAGTTGGTACATATCCTCATGAAGACAGACTTTTCCAACCTGTGTGCCAGCATGCTTCGCTGATATGCCATAGAAAGTTCAGCCAGCATGCCCATCTAGGGATTTATCAGCCACCCTAATTTCAGAAAGAACTAAAGGGAATGAGAAAGCCAGCATGTGCTTTCCAGGACCACACCCTCTTCTGTCACTGATTTTGCTCATTTTGTGTTCTCCCTGGCACTGAGGTTTTCTGGTTTAGGGAACTTTCTTAAGGGAAGTTTTCTTGAGTGTGAGAAGCGATTATGACCTGTAGCCAAACATCAGGAGACAAGCATTCCAGTTATCCCAGAGATGTGTCCCTGAGTGGGCAAGAAGCCTTATGTCAGTCCATCTCCTCTCCCTCCCCCAAAGAGATGTCGGCTGAGGGCAGACCTCCATGGAATCTGAAAGTTTCACATCTGCACAAGTGTGCACAGCCTTAGCATAAACAGGGAAGTTGTAACATAATTAGAATAGAGAAATCTGTGTCCTGTGTTTCAGCCACGGTCGGGAAAGGCCTTCTGCCCGCCTGAGCATCCACAGGGATAGGCCTTTGTCTGTCCATTTGAATCTAGGCCAGAAAGGGTAAGTGCCAAAGTTTCCTTCACATTGTTTACTGAACGATGGTATTCTGTGAGATTTGCTAACAAGGCCCCGCTTTCTTTTTTTTTTTTCTTTTTTTCTTTTCCTTTTTGTCTGTCTCACAGCAACCGGAAAACCTCTTGGTAAGAGAAAACGTATTAATTAATCTGTTTTTGAAATACGACTCAAACTGGTAATAGCACTTTCCCTGTTTCTTCAGTAACGTTTTTCCTTTTGTCTTGTTTTTAATTACAGCCCCATAAAGATAAATCTGTTTGAAGGGCATTTCATGAAGCTGCAGGCTGACTCCAACTACCTTCTCTCCAAGGAATATGAGGTACCATGCAGGCCCAGGGAAGCTTATGTACCCCACCTGTAGAATTCCCTCTTGAATGTTACTGTGAAGTCATGGTTGGGATGCCTATGGGAAAGAGAAAACAAATTTCGATGCAATGCTGTCAGTTACTCAGCCTGGACATTCACTTGTCTGGGAAATAGTTTGGAAAAGAGTACCCAGGCTTTGAACATGCTTCTCAATTTTGCCATATGTGTGTCCTAGAGCATGGGATTTATCATCCTTAAGTCCCTCTGTAGGATGGTGTGAGAAGCATCTCCTGTGTAGGGCTGTGGAAAGAGTCAGAACCCATGCATATGGACTACCAGGTGTTCTGTAAACTGTAATTCATGTACACCTGTATTTATGGTGTTATGTATCTCATGGGTGTATGAGTTGCCTTATTTTATAATCTCCACTTACAAACTTTTTTTTAAACCTAACAGGACTTAAAAGATGTGGGTAGAAACCAGTCATATGACATTGCTCTCTTGCCTGAGAATAGAGGGAAAAATCGATACAACAACATACTGCCCTGTAAGTTTTGTGTTGGAGCTTGTACTATAACATAAAAACCACAAGCATGAGTATGCATGAATGTAAGTGTGCACTTGTGTGTGTGTGTGTGCGTGTGCATTAGCTGGATATGTACCCTCTTAGCTCTAAATGACTTTAGTAAGGAATGTTTCAAATGCTCGCACGCTTCTCTCACAAGGATAATGGCCATTTTACATTCTGGTTCTGAGAGGACTGGTTGGCGGCTCCCTTTGCCGTTCTTACTTTTCCTCTTCGGAGGCTCAGAGCATGACCAAAGTGAAGAGCAGGGCTCTGATGATTGACTCACTTTGGTTCACCTCACAGTCTCTGGTTAGCGATTTTTAGGAAAAGCAGCCTACCCTGTCTGGTAAAGCCATCAAAGGTGGTTCTTCTGGCTAGTATTCGTTCCAGAAGAGAAAAAGCTGGCTGCTGCATTAAGCAAGTGTTATAATGCTGCAAAGGAAACTCTAGATGGGGCTTCCCATTGTCTCCTACACCTATTGTTTATGCGTTGCCAGTGTCACACACCCCAAATTACCTGTCAGAGCCCCAACTATTAAACAGATATAGGAACACTTCTCTTGGAGCTGCTGTGGGGATCAGAGATAAAGCAGTCTAATACCACTTGCCTACATGGGGATATCATTCCATGTAGACACTGCAGCAAACCTTTCAATAAATCTCCTTCCAGATGATACATCAAGAGTGAAGCTGTCCAACGTAGACGATGACCCGTGCTCTGACTATATCAATGCCAGCTACATCCCCGTAAGTGAACTCCCAGGCTACAGTGTCCAGCAGGAAGCTTGAATGACAGTTATGCAGGACATGTCACTCCTTTGGAGCTGCCCCACTGTTCTGTCTAGAAACACTTGCAATATTTAAAAGACTGTGTCTGGTTGCCATAAAACACAAGCTGTTTTCTTCAATCACTGTTAAGCCCTGTTTTTCACAATGACCATGGTCAGGTGCAATTCTCATGAACCCAGGATGCATGTTCAAAGATTATTTTCTTTCTGTGGCCCTGAGATAAGTAAGATTAGAGTTGAACAAAAGAGATGGCCCCCATGGCTAAGACTGCCATGCCAAAAGGGCCAACCCCTTGTTACTTGGACTTCTGGAAACCTCCCCCCCCCCACACAAACACACTTCAAAGTTGTGTTAACTTCTGGGACCTGATACTGGCTTACATCTTGCCAACCTCCCACATACACCACAAGGAAAGAGGCTTTAAAGGTAAAAAAAAAAAAACCCAGATCTGCATTTCACTTCTGTCTCTGACTGATTCCATGACACAGCAAGTTCTGTCACCTCATTGAGGCCCTAATTCCTTTTCCAAAAAATTAGGAAAATACCTGAAATTATTGCCTATGCCTTCAATAGATGTTAACCAATTAAGTGATAGCTATAATCTAAACACTGAGAAAGGGATTATGTCTCTAAGAGAACTATTGAACAGTCAAGACCTTGAAGAGTCACAGGGCAATGCCATGCTTACCATGCCAGAGCAGAGTCTCCTAAATGAACAAACGATACCATTCACTCTTGAATACCATCCGTTCTATCTAGCAAAGGTAGGAAGATCCTGGTATTTTGCATTTCTTACCAGCCCCCGTGTAATCCCATCCCTACCAGCCGGAGGAGCACACTGAGTAGTAGAAGAGAACAGAGGTTACCACAGAACATGGAGGAAGAGGAGGAGAATGTCACCTGATAGAGAGGAAGATGAAAAGTGACAAGGGGCTAAGGATAAATAAAGAGTAGTCAGCTGAGAAGCAGTGTGTGGGTGGCTGGGTTGTGGATGGCAGAGCTGATGTAATATAGAGATCTTGAACAAAGGCAGTGAGAAATGCGCTTCCACTAAGACTTGAAACTAATTCTGTAATGCTGAAGTGAAGAATGAATTAGTGGAAATATCTAGGTCACCATGGTTAGGATTAAGTCAGATCTGCAAATGTCCAGACCCACTGCACAGTATCTGATAAAAGCTCAGGGCATCAGTGGTTCATTCCCCATTAAGCTTCCTTTGCATGATATCTCTTTCTGAATTATTGTGATGTCAATTATCCAAAAAGACTAAAATCAGTCCTTTGAACAGTTTAAACACACAAACACTAAACACACACAGAGGTGCACACAGACATATACACACACACAGGTACACACACAGGCATACACAGACACACATGGGTACACATAGACACACACAAACATACACAGAGGCACACAGGGACACACAAACAAGAGTAAAATTGTTTTCTATATTGCGACTGGAATCCTCCATTTGTCTTTACAACAGTCCCAGCTGATAAAGGGCAATGTGACTTTGAACAGTGGTCCAATGCCTTTATTCTTCCTACTCCCAAGCCTCAACACTTGTGTTTGTATCTTATTCTCCACTCGAGGGCCTGGCAGAGAGCTCCATACCTTCTAATCTGCAAACCAACCCTTTGTTTACAGTTCTGAAGAGCCCATTGTTTCTGACTCTCCATATTGTAAATTCATCACAGGGTAACAACTTCAGAAGAGAATATATCGCCACTCAGGGACCGCTTCCTGGCACCAAGGATGACTTCTGGAAAATGGCGTGGGAACAAAACGTTCACAACATCGTCATGGTGACCCAGTGTGTTGAGAAAGGCCGAGTGAGTAAACAGTCTTCCTGCCTCTCTGGCTTTGCTTTCTGCTGTTGTTCTGATGAGATTCTGTCCTCCTCCTCCATCCAGAGCCACACCCACAAACGCCAAGAGGAGACCCTGGGAGAAAGCTGTTAGGGAATTAAGCCACTTGATTATAAAACATCCTGGATCCTTTTGTAAATTCTCAGTCAGACATTTCTTCCAAAGACATTTGCATGTGAAGCCTGGGACAGTGGGAAGTGAACATGAGCAGGAAGAAGGCCTGATCCCATGTATGCTCTGTCCTACAGAGCATCACTAGCGAGAGATCCTACCAGAGTTGAGGGGCCTCTCAGAAGTATTTTAGGCTGTACTGGCAGACATGAAGTAAGATATCTGTCTGAACTATCTCACATATATATATATATATAATCCCCAGTTATAATCTTTTACATTATATAGCTACTTTTAGGATTAAAAGACTAAATGTAAAGAGCTTCATATTTATATGTTGGATTTCCAGACAATCTTCCATCATCCTGGCTAGAATGGGACCCACATCTTTCTCTGCAAGACTAGTCTTATTAGATGATATTTATATGATATATGCAACTATAAATACCAATAAAATGGCTAGAATACATATCCATGTAAACATATTACATATCCATGCAAATAGAATTTCAATATACATATATAGCTATATAGCTTGCCTCACCATGCACAGTAAAATAAAAGCCATGTTCATTGTATTTGATACTCATGTCTACACGCAAAGATACAAATATATATTGGCTGTCAATAAATATGCATCTAATGAAATATATCAATTTTAATTAATGTGTTCCACAGCACTTATCAGAAAAATACTTGAATCTCCATCTTCATCTCTTTGTGCGTGTCAACACAAGTTTAGTTGAAAGTTCTAGATTCTCATAGATCTCTTTGGCATGTGGTCCAAGTAAGGAAAGTGATAAAAATGGGAACAAAACAGGGCCAGGAAGACAATGCCTTCCTCTGCTTGGTTAGGTTTTTCTTCACAAAGAACATTTTCCCCCTTTCTCTGAAGTTCTTGGGAAGGAATCCTAGGACTTGTGCATGCTATGCAAGGCCTCTCTGCCACTGAGGTATGGCCCCAGGCCAAGAACAAGAGATTTTTAAGTCATTGTTTATATTGGCTGGTGGGACCAGGACACTGAAGAAATCATTAAGGAAGAACCAAAAAAACCTTAAGTTGTCCCAAAAGTAGATGAAGCTAAAAGTTGGGATTGGGAGCTGCTTCGGGGGCAGGGAAGCATTTTCTTGCTATCCTTTGGAGTAGCAGCCCACCTGTGTCACTGGCCATGAGCAGGTTAATAGAAAGTAGATGATTAAGCTTCTTTAGCAGCTGATCCTGGATCCCTAACTCAGGAAGGGATTTTAAGGAGGGAGGGATTCACTCACTGTCAGGTTTACAGGCTTATTTTTCCAGTCTGTTCTCTTCTAGGTAAAGTGTGACCATTACTGGCCAGCAGACCAGGACTCACTCTACTATGGGGACCTCATCCTGCAGATGGTGTCAGAGTCAGTACTACCTGAGTGGACCATCAGAGAATTTAACATATGCAGTGTATGTTGGTTTGCTTGACTTCATTTTAAAACCCAACTTAGAAGCCAGGTACTGTGGTTACATATTTGGAACCCCAGCATTTGGGAGGTGGAGGCAAAAGAAGTTCAAGGTCATCCTCACATACATAGAGAACTTGGGGCAAGCCTGGGCTACAAAAGACCCTATCTCAGGAAAAGAGTAGGAAGGAAGGAAAGAAAGAAGGAAGGAGAGAGGGAGGGAGGGAAGGAAGAAAAGAGGGAGGAAAGGAGGGAGAAGGGAGGGAGGGAGGGAATAAAAGAAACTACCCAGCTTACATAGAGGAGACTCTGCGAATCCTGTCTTTCCTGGTTCATAGCACGTAGTTTCAGACCACGAAAACTCCAGAATGACACAGTTGTCAGAGTTCTTGAGTTTTTCCCTCAGTCGTTGCTCTTATCATCTGTTCTCCATCCCTGCAGGAAGAACAGTTGGATGCACACAGACTCATCCGTCACTTTCACTACACCGTATGGCCAGATCATGGAGTCCCAGAGACCACCCAGTCTCTGATCCAGTTTGTGAGGACTGTCAGGGACTACATCAACAGAAGCCTGGGAGCCGGGCCCACCATAGTGCACTGCAGGTATGAGCAACCTGAGTCGCCAAGGTGGAGGCGACATTAGTAAGAGTCTGCAGCAACACAAAGGCGCATGGTGCATTGGGTTTCTCCAAGCCAACCAGGCCGCCTCGTCTCCGGGGAGTGCCTCACGCTCTTCTCCGTCTTCTTCTTCCTCACAGCCTCTCCCTTTCCATTTTCTTCACCTCCCACTTTGTGCTCCCCCTCATTCTCTTCTTGCTGTCTTCCCCAGGGCATGGAATACAGAATCCTTAAGTGACCTCCGCGGCCTCCATCATGGTTCCCATCTCACCTTCGGTCCAGTGTCTGTCCCCTCATTTCCTCTTGCATTCCAGCCAAGGGGTTGACTTTATAAGTTTATTCTTTTGTTTTTGCTTCTTCAATTCTTAAGTTAATACTTTTAGATTATCGTACAGACCACTAGGTTTCCCTACCACATTTTCATACATGTATGTCCTTATATCATACTTTATTTTTGTGGGTTTTCCTCCCCCACAGCCCTCCCCCATATAGCCTGCCTTCCTCCCATGGGTTCCATCCTTACTCTCTGCCTTCATATCACATGTATTCCATTACCTTCTTCCCTCTTGAGATCACTGTCTCCTCTCTCATGGCCCCCTTTCTAGTTTTATCACACACACACACAGACACACACAGACACACAGACACACACACAGACACACACACACACACACAATGTATTAGTTACTTTTCTGTTGCTGTGATAAAGCACCATGAACAAGGCACCTTATGGGATAAAGGGTTCCTTTGGGCTCATAGTCACAGAGGTTTCGAGTCCATTATGGCAGGAACAGCAGGGCAGCCAGCAAGAGCATGGCGGGAGGTAGGAGAGGCAGCTGGGAGCTTACGTGCTCAACTAGAAGCAAGAAGCAGAGAGCAGACAGGAAGAGGGGCATGGCTACAAACACTCAAAGCCTGCCCACAGTGACATCCTTCCTCCCGTAAGGTCACACATTCTAAACCTACCCAAAGGGCACCACTAACTGTGGACCAAGTGTTCAAATGCCAAATTGTGGGAGATATCACCCGTTCAAACCACCTCGTATAATTTTTCATTTAGGTCCTGAATAAAAGAGAAAACGTGATTTTTCTTTCTGAGTCTGGCGCACAAACTTATTCTTGATTCCTGATATTTTGTTTTTTTCGAGACAGGGTTTCTCTGTAGTTTCCTGCTACTTTTGTCTCCTTGAGATAGCTTTCTTACTTCTCTTGCTGAAGAAGCCTTATCCACCTACAGAGTACACTGCCCTAGACTCTCCTCCAGGTCTAATAGCATGCTCTTATCCTCTGATGATGCTATAACCAAATACGGCAGGCTGGATGAGGGGATGAAGTGCTGTGGAGTGCTCCCCTCTGGAGCCCAGATTAGGCACAGACCACACCCAAACACCAGTTTCCTACACAAAGAGATACTTTATTGAACAAGGCAGAGAGACAAGATGGTTGAATCTGAACTGGGCAGAAATGACAGCAAATAGCTTTGCAAGTGTTCATTTTAAGAGAGAAAGGGGCAGTTCCATGTTAGAATGAGCTAGGAGGCATTGGTTAGTGGTTTTGTTGTTGTTTGTATTTTGTTTTGTTTCGTTTTTTCTTTCTTTCTTTCTTTTTTTTTTTTTTTTTGGTTTTACAAGATAGGGTTTCTCTGTATTGTTTTGGAGGCTGTCGGTCCACAGAGATCCGCCCCTGCCTCTACCTCCCTAGTGCTGGGATTAAAGGTGTGTTCCACCAATACCTGGCCTTTGGTAAATGTTGATTGGGTATTTTAATAATGAATTTTGATTCCTGGATCTTGGGGTCTTGACAGTTGGACCTTGGTGATCAGCCTCAAGAATAAACCTTGATGGCTAGCTTTAGGAATGTAATCTAATGGTTTAGTGAGGGGAAGGAAGATAAACCCTGTTAGCATCATGTTTTCCATACTTGTGATCCTTTACTGGGCAATTTATAAACAAAAAATTATCTTTCACAATTCTGGAAGCTTCAAGATTGAGCCACAGACAGATTGGTGTCTGTTAAGGACCTTGTCTCTGAAACTGTGTATGCCCTCCAGAGAAGAGAAATCTATGTCCTTACATGCAGGAAAGAAGGCAGGGAACAGGCAACGGGACTTAGCTAACTCTTTCCAGCTGTCTGTAGTCAAGTTTTGCTCTTAAATTTCTTTTTCTCTCTTGACTTTTCCTTGCTTCAGTTCATCTGTCCATAAAATCAGTTTAACAAGTCATCTTTCTCTCTCTGGGCAGCCTGGTGTTTAGCTAATTAATGTTTGCAGCACACTTTAATAGCCCTAACTGAATGGCACTAATAAATAAAGAGCAGAGAATTGCTACAGTAAAAGAAATGTCAAGTGTGTTAATTTCTCCCAAACAGCCACACACCCCTGGAGTCCTGCTTTTATATGTCTTTGGACCTCAGTGCTTTAATGAGATATGAAACACTCAGGGGTCTCCTGCTTTCTGAAGAATAGCAGGCACTTTCTTCCAGAAACACTGGAGAATTGTTCTGCAGCTTATAAATGTGTTCATTGCCAGCCAAAATAACCAGAGGGAGTGTCTACAAAGAATATTGAGCTGGGCAGTGATGGTGTACACCTTTAGTCCCAGTACTCAGGAGGGAGAGGCAGGAAGATCTCTGTGATTTTGAGGTCAGCCTAGTCTACAGAGTGAGTTCTAGGACATCAAGGCTATACAGAGAAACCCTGTCTCAAAAAACAAAAACAAACAAAAAATAATATTGGCACTTACTTATGAATAGTAGAACAGTGCAGTGGGGATGGGTGCCATAGTCAATAATGGAAGTATTCAAAGTTGAGTTTTTAAGACAAAGTTGAGGACATTTACATATGCCACTGTGTCACAAGTTTCACTGGTCTTAATAACCTGAGGGAGGAGTTGGTGTTTGCTTACTGGTGGAGGCAGCATTGCTTGGCAAGTGTTATATGGTGAGCATTTTATGTGGATTGCTATTGCTAAATGCTAAAGACAACATTGGTGCAGAAACCTTGGCATGTGTATAGTGCATGCAATGCACGGTATGAATGGAGAATGAAAAGGAATTTCTTGAGGGCTCTAGAAAGTCCTTATGAAAGTACTTATTGAAGTGGGCAGGCAGGCATGAGTTCTCCCTTTTCTGTATTCCTGGCTCTAATTTTGTCTGGGTTGAATAAGAACAAACTGGTCTAGGTATCAGCAATTTGCACAGCATCAAGAGTCCCATGTTAAGGAGCAATTTAACAACATCTAAAAATTGTTCATACCCTATAAGCCAACCCAGCATGCCCCTTCTAGCTATCAACTACTGAGCAATTGCCACATAGATGCACAATGAATTTCACTGCTGCATGGTTTTTTAATAGAAAACGGAAAATGATCCCATTGTCTACAGTATGGAGTGGACTGGCAATTGTTTATGGCTTCTTCAGAATAGTTAAAAGAAGTTGGAATTATGCCAAGCATAGTTGCATGTTCTTGTGAGCCCAACACTACTTGGAAGACTAAGACAGGAAGACCATGAGTATATAGCAAGACTCTTCCTCAAATAAATAAATAAATAAATAAATAAATAAATAAATAAATAAATAAAACAAAAGCAAGCAAACAATGAAGGAACAAAAAGAAGAGCAAATGAGAGATATAGGAAAGAGATGAAATTGGTTCTCTATCACAAATGGATAAATCTCAAAACCATACTTAGAGTACTGGGTAGAGAACTTGGCAAAAAAATGTAGTATCTTAAGCATTTTAGTAAATGTTCACAACGTATAAAATGTTCTTTATAGATTCACAGGTATAGAGGAAAATTATAAAAATAGGCATGGGCTTGACATATACCAAGGTCATAGTGGTGCTTACATCAGCAGGATGAAGGTTGGGAAGAAGTAGACCATAGGGACTCTAGGTATACCATGGGAGCTCCAGGTAGACCATGGGGGCTCCAGGTAGACCATGGGGGCTCCAGGTAGACCATGGGGACTCTAGGTAGACCATGGGGACTCTAGGTATACCATGGGGACTCTAGGTAGACCATGGGGGCTCTAGGTAGACCATGGGGGCTCTAGGTAGACCATGGGGGCTCTAGGTAGACCATGGGGGCACTAGGTAGACTATGGAGGCTCTGGGTAGACCATGGGGTTATCTTTCTTTGGTGAGAGCATGCCCGTGGAAAGAAAGATTCCTGTGTTCTTCCACAATTTGAGAAACAGAAGAAAGATGACCAGAGTCTCCTGATGTAGTCATGGAAGGGAAATTACATCAGAGACCCCATCTTCTGTTTGCTTCTCTCCAGTGCTGGTGTGGGAAGAACCGGGACATTCGTTGCCTTGGACCGGATTCTCCAGCAGCTGGACTCCAAGGACTCCGTGGACATTTATGGAGCGGTGCATGACCTAAGACTTCACAGGGTTCACATGGTCCAGACTGAGGTGAGAACTCTAAGCTGAAGGACACCAGTGCCCTTGCCCACACCTCACTCATTACCTCTGCCCCAAAACTGTCCAGGACACCTTAACAAGAGAGAAAAGTGAACGTACATATTTTCTAGGATCTCAAATTTTGAAGCAAATTTCAATGACCTTCAGTGCATGATATGTTCTTTACTGAGTATCTTCTCAGGGAAGAATTCATTTAGATAGGTAGGAAGAAAGAAGGTATACTTTGGGAAAGCATTATAGGTGGGGGGCTGGCTAGACCATCCCAGTTAAGAACTCATTTTAAGGCAGTCTGGTAGACAAGCACAGATACTTCCATAAATTTCTAATCACTTCTCTCCCCTAGCTCCACCCCTTCCATGTACATCCTCATCTCTGGATACACCAAGAACTGTATATTCAATGGGAAGGTTACAAGTTTCCCTTTGGGCAATGTTTGACATTTGCAGATCGCTTGAAGATACTCTCCCATGTTATTTGCTTTCATTTCGAAGCTAGGAAGCTAAGGCTAGAAGGTTGTCACAAACCCATAGCCATGAATTGGCTAAGCTTGGACCCTGTTCTGGAAAATCCTAGCCTTTGACTATAAGTCATTCTCCTACAGATCCACAGTCAGGTCTCTGCATACACCTCATGTATACCAAGTGTGACATTTTTTTTTTACATTAACACTTTCCAAAGCTCAGATTCTCTTCTCATTGGCTTTCCCAAGTTTTTCTTCAAATAACTCAGAGAGGAAAGGCAAGATCTAAAAGATTTTCTGGGGATGAAAAGTTCTATGTACAACCACAGTAGTCATGGAAACCACACAAGCAGCTATGTTCCACAACCAGTATCCTACAGTTTCCCTTTGAGCTCTGTTGAAACCAGAATTCTAAAATTACCCTGCCCCCTATTATTTCTGGTGCAGCGTGTATTAATATCCTGTGGATCTCACCTTCTGTACCAGATTTGGCAAAAGCCTGGTGTCCTTGCCTCTCCTGCAGACAGCACCTACTCACCAGTTCTGCTACCCCGTTGTATCATCCCCCCGAAGTGTGTGTGTGTATTTTCCTTCTTCCTTCATTTCTTTTTTCCTTTATCTGTGTGTGTGTGTGTGTGTGTGTGAGAGAGAGAGAGAGAGAGAGAGAGAGAGAGAGAGAGAGAGAGAGAGAGAGAGAGAGAGCTCCCCTGGAGCTGAGGCTGGTTACAGGTGGCTGTGTACCAACCATTGTGGGTGCTGGAGACCAAACTCTGTTCCTCCTCAAGGGCAGTGTTTCATTTAAGTATCACTTCCACAAATTCAGACTATACTTGATCTGTAAGTTGGAGAAGAAGTACCTAACACATTGTAAGTAATCTTGAGTGTGTGTGTGTGCATGTGTGCGTGTGTTCAGGCTCCTGGCTAGTTTCAGAGACAACTTGGGTTATGCATCACTTCCAGAAACTGGTCCAAACTCTTGGGCTGCACATTGGCTCCAAGCAGGGTCTCTGTTGGAACCATCACTGCCTGGCTTCCAGAGCAGAGGCAGCTGCCATGAACCAAAGCTCTTCCTCCTCCGTGAGCATCCTCTCCGTTTCCTCTTTTCTCCTCTTCCCACTCTTCTGAAGGCTCCGTGGCCATGTTTCTCTACTCACATTTTCAGTGTCTGGGTTCCAGATAAAGTTTTTTCTTTATTTATTTGAATCTTCATTCTTGTCCATGTACACCCTCCACTCCCAGGAACACACCTGTTTCCCAAACCCGATTCTTCTTCCCTAACTTTTATCTAAGTACCTGCTTTGCTGTGCAGTGCCGCCTACACATTCCACTCACCTCCAACTCAAAATGCTTAACACCAAACTCATTATCTTCTGAGAGGTGTCCACATAGTGTGTGTGTGTACATGTTCCTTCCTGTGCGCATACGCATGTGTGTTGGGGTGTGTACACATGAAAGCCAGAAGCGAACACTGGATGTCTTTCTCAGTTGCTGTTCCCCTTACTTTTTGAGACAAGGTCTCTCACTGACCACTCACTGGTCGTCTAAGTGACTCACCAGTAAATCCCAGGGATGCAACTGTCTCTTCCTCCCCAGCGCTGGCACTATAGCCCTGCACTTCCACATTTGGCTTTTGGTTCCAGTGCTGGAGTCCCAAGTCCATGTCCTCCTACCTATACAGGTGCACTGAGCTGTCTCCTCAGCGTCCGCACATTGGCCCAGGCCAGGGGGCTGTTTCTTTGCTCACCAAAGGCCTGCCTGACTTGCTTGGCTATGTGTGTGGGCATGGGTATAGAAGGGTATAACTCACCATTCAATGCTGTGGGTGATGACTTCAGAAAAGGAGCAAGGAATTTCTGAGCCCTTACTTAGTTCGTCTGAGACCATAGGGACAGGTGATCCTAAATTTCATACACCTTGAGATCTTGGGATACCAAGGAACACGGGTAATGATAATTTTTTGATGAATACACCAAACTGAGAGGCTTTCTAAATAAAGAGGTCATAGAGGGGCTTGCGAATGTCTTCCTCTGTTTATCCTTCTGCCTTGGGGAAGACTTGCAGTCTAACTCAGTGGGACATTTTGATGCAGCAAAACCTTGTTGAGGGAGAAAAGTCGGGCATTCTGACTGCTCTCATGATAATAAACACAGGGGCATTCATTGTGGGATCAGGTCTCCATCCCATTTAAGAGACTATCGAGAGGGTCTCCTATGCCCAGGCAACCTGTATTTTAGCCACACTGAACACCCAACTCACTTTCATGTTATCGTTATCATGTGGAATGTCATACTTTATTCGGATTCTTTCAAGGTCATTTTTTCTTACTCATTTGATATTTTCTCCTCTAAATGATCTCAAGAGATTCTTCTCCTGCACAAACCTTTTATAAAACAACTCTAGTTTATTGTCTTCTAGGGATGCATGTCTGCCCTTCTGGTAAACATTGCCCTCAGGAATCATGAACCAAATGGCTATACATGTACTATCATAAATCTTATACAATTCTACAAAGATTGGGGGAATTCAATGAAATGGAATATGTCAGTGCTCAGCCAGGGCTTCCCCAATTAGATAAAATAATCTTATGTGACTTGAAGCTTATATTAGTCTTTTTTTTCATTTTTCATTAAGAACTAAGTGGGGGTACAGTAACAATGTACTTGATGATTCTAGAAGTAATCAATTTTTGAAGGGACATCCTATGGGGAAAAGAAAAGTTGATATTTAAGACAAGGCAAATTAATAGAGAGTAATTAGTTTCAAGCCCGTGGTGGATCACTGTCAAAAAAATTTATTACTAAGTCATGGCCCGGTATAACAGAGTTCATTCACAGCTTATCTCTTCCATCCACAAGCAATATAATTACAAAAAGGAGTTGTGTCGATCTGGAGAGAGAGATAGCCCAGCCGTTAGGTGTACCTACTGCTCTTTTAGAAGATCTGGGTTTGGTTCGCAGCCCCCACATGGGTGGTAACACCCTGTAACTCCAGTCCCAGGGAACCAACCCCATCTTTTAACCTCCAAGGCCTCCTGTACATATATGGTGCACATAAATGCAAGCAGGTATGCACACACATAAAAACAATCTGTAAGTTTTCAAAAGGTCAAGATGGCATAAGGCCAAGTAGGATCTGTGGGTATTTTATGACAGTCCTGTATCATCTAGCAACAGTGGGTATTTCATGACGGTCCCTTACCTTTCTTCTGCTGGAGGCCACCTTCCTCTGACACGTTCTCTGACTTTCCACAGTGTCAGTACATATATCTGCATCAGTGTGTGAGAGATGTTCTCAGAGCCAGGAAACTACGCAATGAGCAAGAAAACCCCCTGTTTCCAATCTACGAAAATGTGAATCCAGAGTATCACAGAGGTAAGAGCAAATCTCGCTGGCTTTCAGTTCGCCCGTCCTAAAGTTCCGTTTTCAAAAAACACACTCAGTCTGGAAACTAGTACTATCTCAATGCTCCTCCAGCATGGACCTCCCATTTCCTTTTCTACCCAACAAATCCCCCAAAAGCCGCAACAGAGGGAAGAGGCAGAATAGGGAAGGGTCCCAGAGTTAAGCAGAAACTTCATATCCTAACAATTTTTTCTGTGCTGGCATAATACCCAGGGCTGACAATGAGCTACACCCCCATTGTTCAAACCATAACTGGGATAACAAAATGGATGCAATGAAGAATGTGTTGGTCAGATTTTCAGTGTCTTTCACGCATTCCTGTCTGCTACTGGGTATTTTTTCTGTTTTCTTAAGTATATAGAATATGGTTTGCGCACAGAGCCTTTTCAGTTACAGGTGAAAAGCAGTGATACAACTGAGGAGGTTGGCATTATCACAGCAAGACACACGAGGTGGCTGACAATGCACAGCAGAAAGTTCATTTAGCTCACACCTTTGGAGGATCAAGGGCATGACACTTGTGTCAGCTCAGTTCTGGTGAGGACCTCGTGGTGAATGGAGGATAGCAATGACAGGAGGGGCAGCTGGGGCAAATGGTCACATCACCAGGCCAGGGAAAGAGAGAGCTGGGAGAGGTGCAACCAAGTAATCCCTGGAGAGCTTCCTTCTGAGGACTCGCCATCTTCCAAAGGTTTTGACGTGTCATTTTTCTAACACTGTCACCCTGCAGACCAAGCATTTGACTGTAATGAACCCTTGAAACAAACGTCATATCCAAGTCATAACAGGGACTAGTTACACCAGAGCACATTCACTTATAATAGTACAGGGCTGTCACTAAGAATGGGATCTTTTATTTTGTTGTGTGAGATGAAGGCTATGCCACCTAGATTGGCGTTGGAGTCCTACGCTCAAGCATTCCTTCTACTTTGACTAGAGGCACATTGAAAGGTTCAGGCATTACGCTGGCCTGTCTCCCTGTTATAAAAAGCTTTTAAATAAAACATTTAAATGCCATGGTCTCTAGATCACTGAGCATTTGAGGTGTGTCTGTCTGTCTCCCAGGTTAGGCCATGTCATCAGAGATGGCAGCCTCCATAAGCACATTCCCATCTGTTGGCAGAAGTGTCTTTTTTCTCCATGAGTGAGGCAGAAAGGTGTGGAAACCTCAAACTTCATTCGTGGGGAAAAAATGAAAAACTCTTAGAGTGTCCCGAGCAGACACTAACCCAAGCCAAGCCATTGTAAGCTGCTGGCATCTGTATGGAGAAGAAATACGGTAGGAGCAAAGCTGGATAGAAAAGAAGAATTTGTCATTTCAAGCTGAATAAACAGGAGAGACAAAGTAGGACACTCCCGGGTGGAAGACAGTTCCCACCCTGAGGCAGGTTTAGCCACGATGGGAAGTGGCAGGAAGCCTCTGTGTCTGGCGGGAGTTTTTTTAGGTTTAGCTTTTAAAGTTAGAAGAATGAGATTTAGAGGAAGAAAGAATGCTGAAGAGAATGTTTAGTAGAGAGATAGAGAAAAGCTTGAACATAAGGTAACTCCTTCCATCGACCAGATCGCTGGCAGTGACTAGAGAGGTCCCATGAAATATACTGAGATAAGTGAGTCTGGATGACTTAAGGCATTAAGAGGCATCCCAGTGGAGAGGATGAGTCAATTTCCTTTGTCGGTTTGTTACCCATGAGCGAGGTCTAAAGGAAAAGAAATGGTGAGATCAACTCTTCAGAACTCATCAGCCTGAGTCTAGCCAGGGCAGAAAAAACTACCTGAGAAAGGACCCAGAGTCCTGCCAAAGGCTCAGAAAGGAGCCAGGTAACAGAGCAGGCCAGCGTAATGCCCGAACCTTTCACACATGATACCATCACACCTGGCTTCAGCATTGTCATAGTGAGGATACCCTGACGAAGAAGTTTGTCTTGGTTGCTATTAAAAAACAATGCTTGAAACTAGATACTTTATCAAGATAAGAGGCTTGGGGTAGGGCTGTAGCTCCATTATAGAGCTCACACTTAGTAGGCAGAACCACAAAGATACATCAAAGAAAGAAATGGAGTCTGTGAGTAGACTAACTTTGTGCATTTGTTCTCTGATGGGGCCCATCAGCTAGTTATATTACATCAGATGATACACATATGCACACACACACATACGTGTCAGATGAGAACATATGGTGAGAGAGAAAGCAGGGAACTAAGAAGAAGCCATGCTTCTTCTTTGATAACAACTGGGAAACTTAACCCACTCTGAGACCAACTATAATATCTCTGGTCTCCTCTCACCCATTCCATTTCATACAGGTCTCCCCCCAACTTTCCAGGATCATCACACCAGAGACGAAACTGAGTGGCAAAATATAGCTCAACCATGGCACAAGTTAAGAAATGCAGAATGTAAAACGAACAGGAACAATTAGTATCTCTAAAGAACAGACAACCAGCTGATGTTTTTCTATTATTTTATAAATCACCTAGAACAAGAATGTGACATCTTTCAAATAAAAACTTCAATAATAAAATAACTTACAAACTTCATTGGGCACACTTTCAGTCCTGCCCTGGCCCAAAGTTAACGACCAAAGGTACCACAGTATGGTTCTAAATGGGAAGGGATGCTACAGGCCTTGGTTCCTTGCCGTGGTCTGAGATCTACTCATGCGGTCTCTTTGACAGACATGCCTTGGGCCCTGCCTTCTCTGTTTCTAAGTGTAGCTCGGCTGACATCTCCTAAGGTTTACTTGTCCCCAGTGTCTTCAATTCCTGCCCACCCAGCCAGCATGTTATTTAGTGAGCTGAAAAGAACCAAACACAGAGCTATTTAGAGGACTGCTTTGTAAATCAGATAATCTTTTGTGTTGTAAATAATAACCCCCTAATTTATCAGTGAAACAAATTAAGGCTTTTGCATGTCAGTTTCTTTAAGAAACTCCAGGATGGTGGAGGTTGGTGGGGTAAGATCGTGGGGGTTCCTTTGTCTTGTGTTAACTTGTCTGAGAATCGTTTTAAACTGAATCTTGGGTGTGCCTGAAAGAAGCTAACTGTGGGTTCCAAACAGATAACCGCCATCCCAAAGACTAGGATTCAGAACTGCTTAGTGTGGACAAGCTGTGTAACTGGCAAAATTACTCTGCCCCTGGGCTTGTGGCTCCCCCTGAACCTCAGAGGCAGGATGGAGGCTTCAGGATCCCCTTCTAAGTTCAGGAATCTGCACTTCTAAACGGAGTGGGATGGCTCCGTAGCAAGGTTCTATCCTAAATCACATGGAGTTTAGTCATGTTCACCAGTGTGTTTCATGTATAAATTTCATAAGCAGAACAGCAGAGACACTCCTGCTATGTCCCTCTAGAACAGTGGCTCCCAACATCCTAACTGCGACCCTTTCATACACCTCATGTCGTGGTGACCCCAACCATAAAATGGTTTTCATTGCCACTGCATAACTGTAGTTATGAATTGGAATGTAAATATTTTTGGTGGCAGAGGTTTGCCAGGGGGGTTGTGACCCACAGGTTGAGAGCCACTGCTCTCCAGTTTCTAACCACACCATTTTTTTGCTTCCAGATGCCATCTACTCGAGACATTAAAGATGCCCCTGAAGATACCCTGGATAAAAGTTTTTCACTGTGTGACTTTTAAAAACCAGATCTTGCTTCATGCCCTGTGGAGGTGCCAGCTATTTCTGTTGATACTATGTATAATTTATTAATCTGGAGAATGTTAAAGAATTTATGTAATTTAAAGGTAACAGATATTATTGTATATATACTTGTATTTTGTAGTTTCTCCTGTAAATATGTATTTTTCATAATGTTTAATATTAAGCTTTATATAATACTATTTTTCCACACTAAAGTGTTCATGGCTTGTTCTACATAAACTGAGTCAGCCTGTATGACAGGACCACTGGTGAATGTGTGTAGAGAAAGTTGCAAGGACACTCTCTGGGGCTGTTTCTTGCCTAGCTTGATACCCACTGGGTGTGCAAAGAACAGAGTTGGAGAGAGCATGCCACAAGATTAGTTTTGCATAGCTGCTGCTTTATTAACGAACCCTGGGATCTAAAGACGATAATGATCAAAGAAAGACTAGGGTTGTGGCTGCACCTTGGTGGTAGAGCATATGTCAAGAAATTAAAACATAAATTAAAAAACTGAAGGGTAGACAGCACCAAGGCTGAGCTGGGTGTTTTGTCTAAACTAGAAGCTTTTTTTCTGAGTCTTCCCAGGGTTACAAGCCATGGTCAGCTTAAGGACCTTGAGACTTGCAGTGACTGCCGGGTTGAAGGTTCTGGTGGAGAATAATGCTAACAGATGTGACAAATCCCTAGTGACAATAATGCCAGCTGTTATTCTGACTGTAACCTCCTGTACAAAGTAGGGTACATCTCTTCAACATTCAGACTTGGTTTTCCTTTGGAAAGAGCTATTGTGGTAGATCATGTCCCTGATCAAAGAAAGCATGATATACAAACAAGTTTATAGAAATATCTACATTATACAAGGAATTAAAAATAAAACCAGCTGTGCTTAGTCTTAAAATCTTTCAAAAGATCTTTTTTAAGTAAGCTGATGCAGTTACAATGTTGACTACCTAACTGAAGCTTCATTTAATATAATTAGCACCACACACCCTACCCATTTCATCTTTAAGATCTGTGCCTTATGTTGCCTATAAACATGCCAGTGCATTAGAAAGTGGACATTGACCAAATCAAGGCCCAATGCCTAGATCTTTTCTGAGAAAGGTCCAGAAAAAGAAGTCGCATTTGTTAATTTCAGGGCTTCTTTTGCAGAAATGTCACATTTCTCTTAAACATATGTGTTTTTGGTACATATCGTAAATTCCCGTAACAAAAATGGATATAATTGGCATAACAATTGAAAATAGTTAGCTGTACCTAAAATCACTGCAACTTTAGTTTATAAATATATTGTGATATTCATGATTATGTAACTCCACACCCAACCTGGAAATGTCTTATGGGGTATTTGAAGTTTGTGAAACAGAGGAACAGTTCCTAAGGGTGCTAGTGAACAGAAGTGAGGATTCAGAGTCCTTACTGTGCTCTGTGACCTTGTGAAAACAACACTGTTAGTCTCTGATCCTGTATCCAGAAATGCATCGGACCTTTTGGACAGGAAAAAGAAGGAGCAGAGGCATAAGCTTGGAGATGCATCACTAAGGGGGAAATGGTCAGACATGGTTTTGGTATGGTATCTGTTAGGAATCATTTTTCTTAGAAGAATAAGGAAAACTAGGCTGGGAGAGCTGCAGTGACATAGCATGCTTGTGTGGCTGGCTCCAGAGGTCCCGCCCCCACTCCCCCAGCGCTCAAGCAAGAGAACAGAACAGGGTGTAAACAGATGTTGCTTGTGCAGAGCACATTGGTGATCCGGAAAGAGAAGCTCATTGAGAAAAGTTGCAGCAAGTGCCTGGAACCTGTCAGGCGCTGTTCCAAAACCTGTTTCTTTGTTGGCAAAGAGAAAGCATAATGACCGTGAAATTAGCATTGTAACTGTTTTGAATAGAACTTAAGAGAGGGCCCAGGCAGGGGATGAGGGCACAGTGGTTACCTTCTTGAAGGTACCTGCTAGCAAGCCACTACATACAGAAGAGAAAGCGAATAAAATTGCACGAACCAGAAATTACAACCACAAAATACTGCAGGTCTGTCATCATAAATGGCACTCGCACACCCTCAAAACATCTGCGGGAGAATCAAGGAATCACAGAGACGGGCACAGCCACACAACCAGGGAAAATCATATGTTCTTGTCGCCTATTCCAGAAAGCACTGATTTCTCCTTCTCTATGCTAGTTTTTAAACCCCTTAGCAATAAATGTTTTGCTATGCAGTCTCTCTCTCAGGAAGGTGAAATACAAATCTAGTTTATCCACGTTGAATTTAGCAGACAGCCAGGCTGGAAATGGAGCTACTGGTAGTGTTTGCCTGTCATGTGGGAGCCCCAGGGCTTCATCTCAGGTACCACAAAATAAGCAAGGAGAGAAAAGCAAAGGTTTCTCTGCCATCCACCCCATTGGATGCATCTCGCCTTACTGTGTCCTGTGGCTGTGCCTGTGCCTAGTAAACACCCCACCCGCTTCCTGCCTTGGCGGGCATCCTGTCAGCACCTGAGCGCTGATCTTCAATCTGGGAGGCTTCAAAGCACTTCAAGGCTATCCAGCCTTGAGAGAGTCTGTTTTGCATCTTAGTAATCATTTGCCCAGGCTCCTTATAATTAACTCCTTTAATCTCTTCACATTAAGTCAATTTTACGTTATCATTCTGCTTTTCCCTGGAAAGCTGCCAACTTTTCCACTCTTGGGTCAGACTTTTCAAAGACGCGTCTCCCTCTCCGGGCTTGCAGATGTTCATCTGAGGAGTTTCCCACCCTTCAGGGCCCAGGGCCCCCTTTTCCACTGTTTGCTCCTATTTCCTATGGGGTCGCTCCTGTGCCAGTGGGGTGTGATTTTATCTTCCGTCCATCTCATCTCCTTTCCTTCATTGCTAACATTCCACACCCTCAGGATTATAGCAGAGCCATCAAGACTTAATTTTTTCAACATAAAAACGGTAACAAGGCAGCAATTTGGGGTCAGTTATATTTAGGAGGCTCTGTAATTAATTTTGTTATTACCTCTTGGAAGAAATCCTAAAAATGATGCGAGAAAAATAATACGAAATTGTTTAACAGATGTCCAGCAACACAAAAATAGGGCTCTCATACTGCTTCTCTTATCTTGGTGTTAAAGATCTAACTTTTTTATTAAACATTTTTTGTTCCCTTGACCAAAAACAAATGATCTGCCATGTACTAAATTCTTGCTCAGTTGGTTTATAGGCATTTTGGAAGGTTGAATCCTTGAAGCTACTAGATCTGTATATTTGCCTCAGTGTGCCAGCCATGGAACCCTCTAGAATTTTTGTTCACACAAGCTGCCCAGACCAAATCTGACCATGCAATGATGAATAAGCAATAAGCTGCTTGTTTGTAGACACAGTTCAGAAGTTTTCTGAGTTCTGTTGAAACTTTGTTGAACTCGAAAACAAGGTCATTGAAAAAAAAATGAATATAATTGACCAGACAAGAGTGGTTAAGAAGGCTTGAGCAGCCCCAGTGAGCAAGCCCTAATCTCTGAGGTGTCAACAGAGAAATGCTACAACTGCTCAAATGCCCATCTGGAAGATTCTTAATCTGAGCCTCAGAAATGCACCCAGTGCTGAATGAATGTTTCCTAGCAAAAGGAACTTTAGACCAGGACTGTTAGACCAGGACCGCAGGGAGGAAGGAAAATGATGACAGAGGGGCGAGTCTTCCTTCTTTGGGAGGTTCTTTAAAAATCTCATCATGTAAGTATTTATTTATTTCTACTAAGACAGATGGATTGACCACCCCCAGTCCCCAAAGCTGAAACTCAAAATGCTCCAAAGTCCAATGTGTCAGAACATACTGACACAGTAGTATGTTCTACAGCTAGCCTCCTTGTGTGATGTGTCAGTCAGAACACAGGACCATTAAAACTGCCAAGTGAACTTACCGTCAGCTCTGTGTACAGGGAATGTGGGAGACAGAAATGAATTTCAAGCTCAGACATGGGATCCATCCTCAATATTCATATTATAGTCGTTCAAATATGTCAAACTTATTTTTAAAGTCAAACAGATTCTGATCACAATCATTTCAGGTAAGGAATCTTGAACCCGTATTACTGTGGCTGGGATTCACTGTGACTATGCCATTTGCAATTTAGCTTATTGGACAATTGAATTGGATTCATTTGGTTTTTTAACTAACCAGATATATGACTCAGTTTACAGCATCTGTCACTGCAGACACAGCACCTTAGTGTCTTACAGTATAGGGTAACTTTGGGAGTGTTTTGGCCATTTCAGTTGAGATTCAGGGTGACATTCGATTCTGCCATGATAACAGAAAAAAAAATCTGTTCTCTTCTAAAAATGTGTCTAGCAGTGAAAACATTTCTGGCTGAAAGAACACTTGTCTTGTATGGAGGCTTCCTTGGAATAAATGTATGCATTTTACTTTTTAAAGGATTATCTATATAGATAACATTCATCAAATAAGGAAATTATTGGTGAAAGCTCCCAAAGTAGAAGTTTATGTCATGGAAATAAAAGATGTATTAAAAGATTTACCAAAGATTGGTTTTTAACCTATATGCCAATGCACTTGGTCTTACATAAGATGCCAAAGTAAGTCTTTCAAAACTGTGAATCTTGTCAGACAAATGTAATGTGTCCCTTCTTAGAATAGTCACAAGAAGGATTAGTTTGGGCTGTTTTCTGCCTCAAGTAATTTCTTTTAAGAAACACTATCTTGCCCCAAGAGCAAGCTTTTCCATTATGTCTGAGATGTATTTTAATAGCTATGTGTGTGAGTATGCCTTACAGGGAGAAAGGAACACCTGTGACTTTGATTTTAGAAGCCCAGTAGAGATGACCAGCCTCCATCTGCTGGTTAAGTGGGAAGGTCTAAACCAGAGTTTAGAGTCTTTCTGATCTCAGCCATACTCCAAGAGAAGGCACCAGTGCCCCAACTTAAAAAGCACTTCATCTTGGCCAGTGTTTATGAGGCTTAAAAGTTCTCGGTCTTGTAAATTCTCCAAGAACAAAGGGGCAAGTTTGTCTTCTCAACTTCCACTTCTAGAGAATAGTTCACAGTTCACATGTACATGCATGGTTTGGAGTGGAAGCTGCTCCTGGCTGTGTGCTTAGGATGTTAGATCATGTCTAGTAACCCTAAAGTCCACAGAAGTGAAGCTAGCTGCTCCTTCATCTGTGTGAAGCATACATATATATACTGTAAATAAATCCAGCAGCTGAACTTATTATGTTCTATAATAGAGCACTTTCATGGTTTTAAAATCATTTACATGTTCTCTGCAAATATAGTTAAAATGGCAATAAATCTATTTTTTTCAATACCATAGCATCTACCCACACTATTGCATTTGTAACCAACGTTGTTTGAACAAAGAACCGCGCTGGTCTTTCTATTTAAATAATGTATGTGCTTAATATATTTTCAGATTTGTAATTGTGGTTAAAAGAGCCTATATGGAATCTTGCACACACCCTCCCCAATGTAGGAATAAAACTGCTGCGTGTTGAAAGTGAGTGTCCTGTCTTATACTTGACTGCTTCTTGCTTCTCACTTTGTATCATCCTCTGCTCAAGAAAAAGCCCAGAAATGGCTGTTTCTAAGTTGGAAAATCCTTCCAGGTCATTATCATGATGACTGCGGTGTCTTAGCCTGTGTTCCTGCAGCTGTACTGGGGACTCTTTCCCTGGGGCACTGTGAACACATACATGGACTCTGCGCTTGGCTATCTCTGCCCAAATGCTTGTTTTCACGTCTGTAGTTCATTAGCAAGCACAGACACCATTCTTGACAAACAGCGCTGGAGCATCCTCAGAAGTGCTGGCCTGGGGTGGGGTGACTGGGAGTCCTTTGGAGAGTCCACACGTACACCAGTGGACAGTGTGACATTTACTAATGAGTTGCTGTGTTGAACTCTAGAGTTACGAGTTTGCCCTTTGCCTCTTTCACATTTCAGTTGAAAGGTCAGCGTGCCCTTCACAAGTCCTGAATTCAGTTGTTGCATTTTCTGTTTTGTTTTGGTTATAACAACCTACTCTAAAAACCTTTGGTTTTTGAAAAGTATAACAACAGATTCGCATTTAAGACTATTAAAGTAATCCTTCTAAGAAGTTTCTAGGTTGTAATGATTACTGTAGGAAACACTTTGTTTTCTGAAGCAGGATTATTTGTTTTGCCCTCTAAAGGGTAATTAGTTCTTAATTTGTTCTTAAAACAAATGACATGACAAAGAGACACCTGGACAAGTAAAAGAGCTTGCTGATAACCTAACATTTGATCCACAGAACCCATGTGATATGAGGAGAGACACGATTCCTATAAGTTGACCTCCAAGAGTGCACCATGACACTCCTGTGTACCCCCAAAACAAATACATGCATAGGCACACACACCCATATATACACACACAACACACATACATGTACACACATACATGTACCCACATACATCACACACACACACACACCACACATACACAACACACATACACATATACACGCACACATACACACACACATAATACATTGTAAATTTTATCAGTGCTAAGTACATCAAGCCATCCTGAGTCCAGAAGAAAGTTTTCACGTAGCCTATAAAAGGAGGCATTTTTATTTGTAACAGATGGGTGAAAATTAACTGGCAGGATTTTTGCCAGAGCAAGAGAGCCATGCAGGGGCTCTGCCCTGGAGAAATTAGCAAGTACTTAGTTCCTCAGAATAGAAGCTAGCAAACCCCAAAGTCAGGCTCGATATCTATAATTTCAGTATGTTTCTTCCTAAAGGAACTATCACTGTGCTGACAGTATTGTTGAGACAGCCTGCACTCACATCATATTTTCCCCTTGCTCCTTCAATAACTTGTCATCACTACCATGCAGAATACTCCAAGCCCCTCTCCTTCAAGCATCTGTTCCCCTCTGCACCCCTGGGTGTTATTTAGACTTCAGCTGTCTGGCCCTTTCCTGGTGTCTCACACATTGCATATGACTCCATGTTTATGCAAGTTAACACACGTGCATTGCCTTTTCTCCAGTGTCTTCATGGAGCAAGAGTCTTTCTTTTCTCCTATAATATCTCTCCCCGAGTAAGTTGCTTACTCTAAACTCAATCCCCTCTGTTTCCTCTAAGGTCCAAGAATGTGATTGGACAATTCTTAGGGATAGCAAATGCTTTAGGCAAAGGGGCAGTGATCATCTTTGTGGGGTGGCATGTTCACTTAGAGTAGAAGATGTAAAGAGAAAGAAATGACCATCATGACAAACCCATAAATCGGATAAACAAGCCTCACTGGAAACTCAATGGATCTTAGAGACCAGAAGGCAAAGGAGTCAAGAGGAGCAAAACAAGGAAAGCCAGTGCTTCCCTGGCCTGGTGGTTCTCAGCCTTCCTAATGCTGCAATCCTTTAAGTTCTCCATGTTGTGCTGGCCCCCACCATAACATTATTTTAACTGCTACTTCATAACAGCAATTTCACTACTGTGATGAATTGTAATGTACATACCTATATTTTGCAATCCCCAAAGGGGTCCTGACCCACAGGTTGAGAACCACTCTCCTTGTAAGTGGGAATTCTGGGAAACCCCACTTTGGGTGTATGTGTTACTGAGAGAACCCTTTCAGGGTCCTTAGTCTCATTAATAAAGTCATTTAAGAACAGCGTCAAGGGAAGTTTGAGGAGGATTTTATCACAGTTTAAAAGAAAAACCAGAAGGCAGGCTAGCTGTAAATCTTGGCAGCTGCCCAGAAAAAGGAGATGGAAAAGAGAAAAAACATTATGCCATTTAAGCTAGGCATGGAGATTTGGGAGGGAGCCACATGGCAAAAGGGAGGTAACTTCAGAGAAACAGTGAAAAAGTTCAAAGTACCCGAGGAAAAATTATGCTTTTCTGAGCGAGGACTGTAGGCTCCTTAACAACTGCATGGAGAGCAGGGATTCTAGGAAGGAACATGTATTATCTCATTTAGGGAATAATTATTCCTCCCATGGATATACAGGAATGAATTATTGCTCAGTGATGTATAGGAAGGATCATGTATTATCTCATTTAAGGAATAATTATTCCTCCCATGGATATACAGGAACAAATTTAGTCAGTGATGTATCTGGTAACAGAATGGAACCTGGTAAGGAGTGTCAGACAGAGAAATGGACACATGTGGGGGACTTCTGGATTTGGTGAGATGATGTCCAAATACAGAGAAGACCTTGAAATGGAGGAGTTGGCAATCCATTTGCATGGCTTGAGTAAATTCACCTTCCCAGATGGGTTATCCTTAACCAGTTGACCACCTGACTGGATTAGATCTTATATTTTGGAGAGCTTAGCATGTTAGGTCTCTACCCAGACCTTAGGTAGATTCTATTGTCTTGGCCAGGAAAAAAAAGCTTTCCCTTAATGGGCCTTCACTGGTACTGCAACATTCCTGACTTTGAAGTTGTAACCCTAAAATCAGCTAGGAGATGAACTAAAATCAAAAATACATATAACCCATTTCTACTATAAAAAGCCAGGATGAAGTTATATAGCCCTTGGAGGCTTAACTGTTAAGTGCCTCAGAGAAGCATCCAGAAGTAGTTGCAGCATTGGCCTAAAGTTGAATGGCAGAAAGGGCATCACAGTTTGGTTGGGGCTAGTGGCACCTAGAAGGAGTCAGAGGCAATAGCTTGGCCTCAAGGTCCTATCTCTCCCCCCAACAAAGCTGCCAAATCCAATTCAGTGCAGCCAACTGGGTAGTCTGAGTGAGTCAATCCATATAGGGGCCAATACATAGCTAGAGAGAGCGAGAAGAAGAGGGTAACAGAGTGGGAGGCCTCAGACAATTAACCAGAAACCAATAAGGGGATAAAACTCTGCCAACAACCTGTCACTTCTGGAAGGTCTTGTAGCTTTATAGTCTTTCAGATAGTTCAATTAAACCTTGGGTTTAATTTTACACTATGCATAAAATAGTGTGAACTTCCTGCACGCATTCAAACTGTTTGGTCAGAAGAATCACCTAGCTGGTATGTCTGTAGTCTACCTACCCAGGTTCCAGATAAGGCTTCAGTAACTATCTGCTGGATGGCACCCAACCTCAGGAAAGCACAGACAAGACCGGGGGACATTTCTACCTCTGAGAAATGGTGTGGCTCCCTGGCATTGACTATGTTTTAAAACCTTGTCTTTTATGTTGTATAATATTAATTTTTAATTGAAACACACTGGATGTCTTTATACAGTATGCTATGATAATTTGACACATGTACACAATAAGTGATTAAATCATGGTAATAAGCTCGTCTACTTCTTCAAATATTAGTCGTTTTTATATGTTGGAAGTTTTTAGCTACTTTAAAATATATCATTCACTGTTGTACTTGGTAAGTCTCATAGCGTACTATAGAGTAGCAGAATTCATTCTCCCTGTTGAAATGTGTTTTGGTTTCCTTCATCCAGCTTCTTTCCTTCCCCCACCTAATCTCAAATAACCTTCCCATCCCAAATGACCACTGATTCACTAGATTGTTCTACAAGATCAGCTTTACACTTTCTAAAAATGAATGAGCATAGGCGTTGTCTTTGTTTCTGGCTTATTTCACTTAACATAATGACCCCCCGGGTTCATGTGTTATTGTAAATGACAGCATTCTGCTCATTCATTTTTTTTGTTGGAACTAGTCTATACATAAACTGATGGACACCTAGCTTGACTCAAAGTCTTAGCTACTGTAAGTAGCCTCAATAAATATGGGAATGTCAGTATCTCTTTGCCATAATGACTTCACCTACTCTGGATGTATATACAGTCGTGGGACTGCTGGATGACATGATAGTTCTGTTTTTAGGGTTTTTTTTTAGAATTTTAAGGCAGCATTTTAAAGATTATATGTTGTCCAATTTTTTTAAAGCTTGTTTTTTGTTGTGGTGAATACTTGAGAGAAAAACATTTTAAAGGGTTAAAGATTTATTTTGCATCTCAGGTTAGGAATCCCAGTCTTTTGTTGGCTGGTACCATTGCCTTTAGTCCCATGGTAAGGCAGAAACAGCATGGAGAAAGAGATGGTAGGTTAAAACTGCCTATCTCAGATCGTGATGAAAACAAAGAAAGAGAGAGACAGCAATGGAGGGCCCATACAGGATACTCGGCACCATTTCCCAAAGTTTCAACCACCTCCACAAGCAATAGTACTTCCCATGGAGGCCAAGCTTCACATGTGGGTCTGTGGCTGAAATGTCCTGTTCTGCCCTGTCCCCAAGGGCACAAGAACAACTCATAAAGCAAAAATGCATTCTGTCCATGTCACAGAGCCTCCTAGGTCTCAACATCTCCAGCATCCTTCAGAAGCCCAATTTGAAACCCTCTGAGGCTCAAGGAAAACTACCACAAGTTCTTTAAAAAGTCAAATCAGATGGTAACATATAATGAGACCTAGTAAATATCCCTATTCCAAAAGGGAGGGATGGGAGCACAGACAGGACTGGTGAGACCAAAGCAAAACCAAAACTCAGCAGGCCAAACACCAAATCCTGT